GAATCTCCCCTAAATTCACCGGCAGGACAGTGTCTGCTCTGCATTCCTACACTTAACCCATTGGGCATGCCCATGAGAGTCCCTCTTGCCTTTTTGGTGTAACTCGGGTTATTTTTCCCTAAATGCATTGTTTCAGTTCTCCACCGTGGAGCCGCCCCCAGCCATGAGCTCACTGCCCTCCCTCACCTCTCTGCCAACCCCATCCATCCCTGAGGCTGGGGGTGGGGGGTGGGAAGAAGGCCTTGCCAGCTGCCAGAGGCCTCACCCTCACTTGCCCAGCCAACAAGGGTTTCTGAAGACTGCAGCCCAGACCCTGGGATTCCACGGGGAAGCTGGAGTACACACCACCATCTTTGTCAGTGGTGTGGGCATCACCTGATTAATGGCTAACTTGTCTGGAGCACTCAGCATGGGCTGGGCACTTTAGGTTCTCTACCCCTTTAACCCTGGGAACAGTGGCTTCATAGGTGAGAAAACTGAGCTTGGGGAACTCAGTTCTGCCCGGGATGGAGCCGGTGTGGGAGCTGCCACCCGAACTCAGCCTCTCCCGGTGCCTGGGACCTCGGCCTTGTTCTAACTGCAAGGCAGGCCCAAGGGTCTGTTTCTAAGCAGCATTTGTGGGAGTTTTGTAAACCCAGATACGGGGTGGGTAGCATGACATGTCCTTCCAGACCTCTGGGTGCTTACAGCCAAAGGCCTGCTCTCTACCCCCCTCAGGGTCCCTTAGGGCCCTCAACTCAGCTTTTCCCCCAAATTCGACATCTTCCCTTCTTGGCTGAGTGGCCTCACCCCCACCCCCTCACTCACCCCGGAATCCTGTCCACACGCCCTGCACACACCCATCTCCAAGCTCTTCAACTCAGCACCCTGCTAACTCAGCTTATCCGGCGTTTCATTCAACAGCCATCAGCCGGGCCAGATGCCGAATTCCAGAGGGTGCCCCACCCTCCCTAACCTGCCACTTGCCCTGATTCAAGTGCCTGTGCTCGTTCTGGGGAGAACAAGAGGGTAAAGAGATTTTACCTTCGTTTTTTGTTTTTTTTTTCACACTAAGTCTGGAAATCTGGTTGTATTTTGCTCATAGAGCACATCTTAGTTTGGATCAGCTGCATTTCAAATGCTCAATAGCTGCATGTGTAGAATGGCTGCCTACTGGTCTTAGAATAGCCTCTTCTCTTACACGCTTCTTTTATTTTGATAAGGGAAAATGTTAAAGTATTGCATAGAAATGACACACGTATATGCACCATTTGGATTCAGTTTGCATTGCCATCAGAACAAAACCCTCAAATTTTTAAATTTTAATAGTTTAAAATGTTATTCCCCATATTTGGTCCATATTTCTCTTTTTGTTTATTTATTTTTTTTAAGATTTTATTTATTTGTCAGAGAGAGAGGGAACACAAGCAAGGGGAATGGCAGAGGGAGAAGCAGGCTCCCCGCCAAGCAGGAAGCCCGACGTGGGACTCGATCCCAGGACCCTGGGATCATGACCTGAGCTGAAGGCAGACGCTCAACAGATTGAGCCACCTGGGTGCCCCTTCTCTTTTATTTTTAAATATATAAGGTATTACAGGAGCAGCCAGAGCTTCCCCCTTGACCTTCGGACCACCCCTCATCTCCTGTTGGTCATTCCCAGGAACATTTTAGTGCTTCTACCACAAAAGTGTGTGTCCACGCACCATTTACACAGTACTGTTTTTGCATGTTTTTAAACTTCATATAATGGTATCATACTATAGTTAATCTTCATGCAATATGCTGTTTTGCACTTAGCATTACATTTTTGAAATTGATTCGTGATGTTCCCTGTACCCCTGGCGTATTTACTCTAACTGACGTGTTGTATTCCGTTGTGTAGATAAACCGCAGCTTCTTTAGCATTCCTCTACTGAGACACTCCTGGATTACTTCCTTTTTCACTTTCATAATCCACACAGCAACGAAATCCTTTACCTGTCCTCTTGTTTCTGTGGGTCCCACACCTAGGTGTGATCGTGGGACATGTGCATTTCAGCTCTGCCAGGAGCTGCTGGGTACTCTGCACCGTGCAGTGTGGAGACAGGGTTCCTAGAGTTACAGGGCCCTGAGCAGTAAACGCCCTGGCCCCCTCTCTCAGCATCACCCTCGCTTTGTCTTTTTTGTTGGGAAAATGGTATCTTGCTGTTCTCACTTGCATTTCCACTATTGTTAGGGAGGCATCTGTATTTGCTCGTTCAGTGTCTTCTTGGACCTTTCCACAGATGAGACTGTCACGTGGCACGCAGAGCCTTGTCAGGATGTGGACTAAAACTATGTCGGATCTGCATGTTAATTTGGGCGGAATGCCACCCTGACAATTGTGAGCCCGTCCATCCTTCTTTAACTGTGTCTATTTCTTCACTTATTTGGGTCTTCCTTTATGTCTGTCAATACAATTTAATATTTTTCTCTGTAAATACCTTGCATGACTTTTGTCAGATTTTCCCTGAGATGCATTTCAAGTTTTGTGGTTATTGTCAATGGTGTTTGAAAACTACATTTTCTACTTGTCTGGTTTAAAGACAATTGTTGACCTGGCATGCAGATCTTGTCCCCAGCAACATTGCGAACATTTCCTCTCAGTTCTAATAACTTGTCTATTTCCAATATCATCTGGGACTATTGATGGCTTTGCTTCTTGCTCTCCAAGCCCTCTGCATGTTTTCTGTCCCAAGTGTTCTAAGATCTCCCACACAAACTTGAGTAGAGGTGGGGATGACAGGACTGAAGTCACTAAGTATGGGGCTTACCAGGGATCTTGGTAGATACCTTTTAATATATTAAGGGTGTTTTCTTCTATTTGTAGTTTGCTAAGAGGTTTTTTTTGTTTGTTTGTTTTTATTTTTGTATAAAGGGATACTGAGTTCCATCAGCATCTTTGTCTCATCATCATGGTCATTTTTTTCCAGATTAATCTGGTATTGTGGTCAATTACACTCATATATTTCAATTTCAGATCAAGCTAATAATGCATCTAGTTTCAGTCAGTTGTACTATTTTTTCACTCTCCTGCTCCATATTTCCACCCCTATGAACAACCACTCTCTTTGGTAATATGCCTCTGTATTTATAGAAAACAATGACTTACAATGAAATTCTTATTATTTCAATTTTGGGCATGATTACTGATTTCTTACTATTGAACTTACACCCCCAACTCGATACACAACCCTTTGTCCCCACACCGCCAGTAGAGTTTTGGCTCCCCCCCCTTTTTTTTTTTTTGCCAAATTAGTATTCTACTTTATTAAGATCATAGACATTGTCCACAGGTGAAGTATACAATGTTCCATGATGACAGTGTCTTTCTTGTTTTCCTTGAAATTAACAACTGACTGATGTTTTCCATGAACCTGTGGCCAAGTCATCCCCAACTTTTGACAAAAGTGAAAGTATATGTCTATGTATTCAAACATGGCAAGTAATCCAGGCTTCCTTTTCATATGGGCCTCCCTTCCCAAGTCCTCATCCCCTCCTGACATGGGCTCTGTGGGTCTCTGCAAGTCAATATTGGGGATCTCCCCTTGCTCCTTTCAGGTCCCTGCATGTAGCTGCACACTCTGTCCCAAGATCTTCATGGGCAGGAAGTGGGGCTGAATTCTTGTTAAGTGACACTGGCCAGTCACAGATGTTTATAGCAGCTTTATTCATAATTGCCAAAACTTGGAAGCAACCAAGAGCTCTTTCAATAGGTTAGTGGATAAGTAAACTGTGGTACTTCCAGACAGTGGAATATTTCTCTAAAAATAAATGAGCTAGGGGCATCTGGGTGGCTCAGTCAGTTAAGCACCCGACTCTTGATTTCAGCTCAGGTCATGATCTCAGGGTTGTGAGATGGAGCCCTGCACTGGGCTTGGGCTCTGCGCTGGATGTGGAGTCTGCTTAAGATTCTCTCTCTCCCTCTGCCTCTTCCCCGTCTCTCTCAAAAATGAATGACTGACTGACTGAATGAATGAATGAATAAGACAAACCAAGACCATGCCAGGCAAACAGATGGGCAGTCATCTTATCCTCCTGGCACATGGATCATCTTTGTTAAAAAAAAAAAAAAAAGAGAGGAGCTAAACCATGAGATGATACAGAGAAACTAAATGTATATTGCTAAGTGAAAGAAGCCAGTCTGTTTGAAAAAGCTACATATAGGGCGCCTGGGTGGCTCAGTGGGTTAAATATCTGCCTTCGGCTCGGGTCATGATCTCAGGGTCCTGGAATCGAGCCCCGCATCAGGCTCCCAGTACGGAGCCTGCTTCTCCCTCTCTCTCTGCCCCTTCCCTCTGCTCGTGCTCTCTCTCTCAAATAGGTAAATAAAATCTTAAAAAAAAAAGGCTACATATATACTGTATGATTCCAACTGTATGACATTCTGGAAAAGAAAAAACTATGGAGACAGTAAAAAGATCAGTGGTTTCCAAGGGTTTGCGGGAGGGAGGGATGAATCTGTGGAGCACAGGGGATTTTTTAGGGCAGTAAAATTATTCTATATAATAATATAATGGTGGATACATGTCATTACACATTTCTCAGAACTAATAAAATATTCAAGACAAAGAGTGAACCCTAATGTAAACTATAGACTTCAGCTAATAATAATGTACCAACATTGGCTCACCAATTGTAACAAGTGTACCTCACTTAGGCAAGACATTAATAAAAGAAGCTCTGTGTGGGGGGACTGTAATATGAGAACTCCCTGTACTTCCCAATGAATTTTTCTGTGTATCTAAAACTATTCTAAAAGATGCCTTTTTTTTTTTTTTATAAAAGACTATGGTGAAAATAAAATATAATACTAAAAAGTACTAAATTAATCTAAAGAAGGCAAAAAAGAAATAAATGACAACAGTGACAAAAAGTGAAACAAATAGAGAAGTCACAGCTCTAAATCCAACACTACAAATAATTACATTAAATGTAAGTGGACTAAATATTCCAATTAAAAGGCAGAGACTGTTAGACTGGGTAAAAGAAGAGGACCTAAGTTTTGAGTTAAAGAGCCTTTAATACACTTTAAATACAGACAGAGTAGGTTGTAATCAAAAGGGTGAAGTTATATGCAAACACTAATCAAAAGAAAGTTGAAGTGGCAGTATTAATATCAGATAAAATAGACTTTAAGACAGAGTATTACCAGAGATAAAGTAGATTTCACAATGATATAAAGTAAATATATCAGGAAGACAGAACAAATATCAATGTACATGTACGTGTCTAATAACAGGTTTTAAAATATTTTTAAAAATTTTATTATTGAAGTATAGTTGACATACAATGTTATATTAGCTTCAGATGTACAACATAGTGATTTGACACTTCTACACATTACGCAATGCTCACCACAGTAAGTGTAGTCACCATCTGTCACCAAGGTTATTATAATATTATTGGACTATATTCCCTATGCTGTATTTTTCATCCCCTTGACTCATTTATAACTGGGAGTTTGTACTCTTAATCTCCTTTGCCTATTTGCCCTGTCCCTACACATCCCACCCTGGCAACCAGTTTGTTCTCTGTATTTATGAGTCTGTTTCTGTTTTTGTTATTTTGTTTTTTAGATTCCACATGTAAGTGAAGTCATATGGTACTTGTCTTTCTCTGCTAGCATATTTCACTTAATACCCTCTAGGTCATAAATAACAGAATTTCATTTTTTTTTATGGCTGAGTAATATTCTAATGTGTATATATACCATATCTTCTTTATCCATTCATCTATCAACGGACATTTAGGTTGCTTCCGTATCTTGGCTACTGCAATTAATGCTGCAATAAACATAGGGGTGCATGTAACTTTTTGGATTAGTTTCTTGTTTTCTTTGGGTAAATTCCTAGGAATGGGATCCTGGATCATATGGTATTTGTTTTTAATTTTTTGAGGAAATTCTGTATTTTCCACAGTGGTTGCAACAATTATCAATTCCAACAATAGTGCATGAGAGTTCTCTTTTCTCCACACCCTCACCAACACTTGCTATTTCTTGTCTTTTTTAACCATTCTGACTGGTGTGAGGTGACATCTCATTGTGGTTTTCATTTGCATTTACCTGTGATTAGCAATGTTGAGCATCTTTTCATGTGACTGTTGGCCATCTGTGTTTCTGCTTTGCAAAAATGTCCACTCATTTTAAAATCTTTTTTTTGGGGGGGGGGGGGCTTGTGTGACAGTGGGTTAGGCATCCGACTCTTGGTTTCGGTTCTGGTTGTGATCTCAGGGTCGTGAGATTGAGCCCTGTGTCAGGATCTGCACTCTGTCCCCCTCCCCCCACCCCATGCACTCTCTCTCTCTCTCTCTCAAATAAACAAATCTTTAAAAAAATAATAAAATAAAATCTCTTTGTTTTTGGTATTGAGTAGTAGGAGTCCTTTATATATTTTGGATATTAATCCCTTAACAGATGTATCATTTGCAAATATCTTCTCCCATTCAGTAGCTTGCCCTTTTGTTTGTTGATGGTTTCCTTCACTGTGCAAAAGGTTTTTAGTTTGGTGCAGTCCCCATAGTTTAGTTTTGCTTTTGTTTCTTTTGCCTGAGAAGACATATCCAGAGAAATCCTGCTACAGCCAATAAAGAAAGTATTGCCTATGTTCTCCTCTGGTCTCACATTTAGGTTTTTAATCCATTTTGGATTTATTTTTGTGTACGGTGTAAGGAAGTGGTCGTGTTTCATTCTTGTGTATGTTGCTGTCTGGTTTTCCCAACACCATCTATTGAAGAGACAATAGATGTCTTTTCACCATTGTATATTCTTGCCTCCTTTGTGATAGATTAATTGACCATATAAACTTTTTATTTCTGGCCTCTCTATCCTGTTCCATTGGTCTATGTCTATTTCTGTGCCAGTACCATACTCTTTTATTATAGCTCCATAATATATCTGGAAATCTGGGATTGTGATACCTCCAGCTTTGTTCTTTCTTAAAATTGCTTTGGCTATTTGAGGTCTTTTGTGGTCCTATACAAATTTGAGGAATATTTGCTCTAGTTCTGGGAAAAATACAACTGGCATTTTGTTATGAATTGCACTAAATCCATACAATTGGAGGGTGGGTAATATGGACATTTTTAACAATATTACTTTGATCCATGAGCATGGTATATCTTTCCATTTGTTTGTGTTGTTTTTATCAATGTCTTACAGTTCTTAGAGTACAGGTTTTTTACCTCCCTGGTTAAATTTACTTGTAGGTATTTTATTCTCTTTTGGTGCAATTGGAAATGGAATTGTTTTCTTAATTTTCCTTTTTGCTATTTCATTATTAGTGTATAGAAATGCAAAATACATGAACAACAAACTAACAGATTTAAGAAACACATAAACCCACAATTACAGCTGGAAATTTTAGCTATCCTCTTGGCAATTGAAAGAGTAAGTAGAAAACAAATCGGTAAGGATGTAGAAGGTCTGGCTGACAACAAGTACTCTGACCTAATAGTTACAGGACATCACGTCAAACAATTGCTGAATCTACTATTTTTTTTTTTTTTCCTATTGCACATGGACTGTTCATCAAGACGAGCCAACTGCTAGGCCATAAAAGTGAAGCAGGAAATATTTCAAACTGAATGATAATAGAAATGCAGCATATGAAAATTTGTAAATATAGTGAAAATAAAAGAGGAAATTTATAGCTTTAAATGCTTATATTGGAGAGGAAAATGACTTAAAATGATTCTAAGTTTCTATTTTAAAAAGCTAGGAAAAAAGACACCAGTTAATAACCATATTAACTATTTGATGACCAGGAACCAGTTTTAAGCATTTTGCTCCCTAACATGATAGCCTGGTACTTACATGTAGACATTTTGCTATGTGTAGTTACATTATAGGGAACTGGTTGGGGGCTTGGGTATGACATAGTTTTCTATTTAAACTAATGGAAAATAGATCCCCAGTTAGTGTTTTAGCATGAAACAATGGATTTTCAGAATGGATTATTAAGTGGGAGATGTACTGTAACTAGAAAAAACAATTTTAGAAAGTGACAAAAAACTTAAATATTTGTAAATATTAAACATTTGTACATTAGGAAACACTCTCCTGTCAAAATGACAAGAAATAACAATGGTGTTGATGAGGATGTGGAGAAAGGGAACCCTTGTGCACTGTTGGGAGGGAATGTAAATTGATGTGGCCACTGTGGAAAATGATATGGAGTTTCCTCAAAAAGTTAAAACTAGAACTACCATATAATACACCAATTGCACTTCTGGGTATTTATCTGAGGGAAACAAAAACACTAACTCAAAAAGATATCTGCACTCCTGCATTCATAACAGCATTATTCACCATAGCCAAGATATGAAGACAAACTAAGTGTCCACTGATGGATGAATGGATAAAGAAAACATGATGTAGACGTGCGCACGCACACACACACACAAATTACTCAGACACAAAGAAGAAAATCTTGCCATTTGTGACAACATAGATGGATCCTGAGGGCATTATGCTAAGTGAAACAAGTCAGACAGAGAAAGACAAATACTGTATGATCTCACTTATATGTGGAATCTAAACAAACAAAAAACCAAGCTCATCGATACAGAAAACTGCCTGGTGGTTGCCAGAGAGGCAGGGGTGGAGGGTGGGTGAAATGGGTGATGGGGGTCAAAAGGTATAAACTTCCAGTTATAAAATAAGTCCTGGGGGTATAACATGCAGCATGGTGACTACAGTTTAAGATGCTGTATTATGTATCTCAGAGAGAGTAGATCTTAAAAGTTGTTATCACAAGAAAAAATTGTAACTATGTGTGGTGATGGATGTTAACTAGATTGACAGTGGTGACCATTTTGCATACAAATATCAAATCATTACGTAAGTTAAAAGATGTAAGTTAAAGAGTTTTGGAGAACTTGCATCTGCCACTGTGAGCTTCCAATGCTGGAAGACTTTTCTGAGGAGACTGTTGGCAATGTAACAAGTGATTTTTGGTAATGAATACTGTACTGTGTCAACATCTGCAGAGAAGTGTTATTTCCACATGATGCTACAGAATCCTACCTGGGTAACAGACCCATTTGGGGAGCAGTACAGAGCAGTGACTTTTAATAAAGCAGAACGCAAAGGGCACTGACATGGTTTCAGATTCCACACTGCAACTACTCTTTTCCTTTTTAAAATAACTTTCATTTTCAAATAGTGTAAATCTCACAACAAGTTGCAAAAATCATACAGAAAGATCCACGTACAGTCACCCAGCTCCCCCCAATGGCATCTTATACTGACAGAGAACTTGTCAACCAGGTAATCTTGTTACATCAGGTGCAGACCTTAATGGGGCTTCACCTGTTGTGCATGCACTTGCTTTTTCTCCAATTAACCATTAAGGGACCATCATTTGTCATGTTTTAGTGCAGTGCCAAAAAGAGCATCCACGGTGATTAGAAAAAGGATTTTGAAATATTCCTCCCTTTCATCAGAGAGGGAGACAAACCATAAGAGACTCCTAGTCATAGGAAACAAACAGGGTTGCTGGAGGGAAGGGGGGTGGGGGATGGGGTAATTGGGTGATGGACATTAAGGAGGGCACATGATGTAATGAGCATTGGGTGTTACATAAGACTTATGAGTCACTGAACTCTACCTCTGAAACTAATAATACACTGTTAATTAATTGAATTTAAATAAAAAATAAAATATTCCTCCCTTTCCCAACTACATATCTATGTGACTACTTCAAACACACATATGACAACAGAATGAATGCAGAAATCTAACCTACTCTAATTGAAGAACTTAATCTTCAATTAAGACACTAAAGATATGTGCAAAAATGTAAAACAATGCCACTCTCCTCAGTAGATATTCTTGTTTTGGAAAAGTTATTTCTCTTAAAAATATTCTATGTTAAGACGGAATGAGTTTATGTCTTTACTTTCAACGAATAGTTTTTGAAATGTTTTAATGTCGACAGATGTAACACACACTAATGCTCCTTGCGACCTCCAGTGGTTTCTAGGGTCATTAAGGGGTCTGGGTTTTTCGAGGTAAACTCCAGCAGCAGGTAAGCCTTCTCCCAGAGCTCCCCGGCTTTCTGAAGTCCACAAACACCACAATAAGCCTGAAACCTTTTTATTCATCAATTTAAACACAGATATTTGAGTGAATTATTATCCAGAGGAAATTAAAAGTTCAGAACTTTATGGAGTGATTGTCAACAGGGGAATATGATTCATATTCAAACTAAATATTTTAAAGTGACCTTTTAAACTACTATGTACTCTAAATTCAAGTACAGCAGTGCAAGAAACTGCAACTATTCAACTTTGTAGAATTCACAATTTTCTTTAGAATGTCCTTGCATTTAGACAGACTTTTTTTCATTACCCAAATGCATGAAGTGAATCGTAGACTTTAAAAATACATTGTTTCTCCAGTGTCTAAGACTTCGTGTTGGTTTGATCCATGGCTGTGAAGAATGCACAGATGGCAGCCGTGATGAGGATATGCATCCCCTCATAAAGAAGTTTTGGAGAAAACACACTCCATATAAATAAATGGTAACGCAGGGATGTCACCAAAATGATATACGCAGAGACTGGAAAAGAGCAGATCAGTGCATAGCAGAAGCAAGCATGACCCAGTGCAGAACCGCTGTTAATAAAAAGGGAATGTGTATGAGTATATGCTACTTTTGCATCATATAAGGCATGACACACACGTAGTCGATATTTTTATTTTGAAAACGACCATGGTAACTCTTGTTCCTGGGACAGCCCCCACCCAATCTGGTCAGTCTGGTGGGCAGGAGCCCACCCACCCAAGGGGACAACAGCTGCAGGCGGCGGTCCTGTCACTCTCTAGTGCCTCAACCTGCAAGATATGTACGAAAAGTGCATCCCCAAATTTTGCAATAGATTTGTTTAAAAATCACGTGCATGTACCACTACATGACGCATCACAAATGTTATGAAACATAATGAAAAGGAAATCACACAGGACGAGATACACGTTTTGAGCTCTGCTTTGTACTGCCCAGTGGGCATCTGGTCTGGGGACACTGGCCCGAGAGTGTTTGCTAAGCAAATTAACAGAAAAGAGCATTCTCAAGCACACGCATGCCCTCTTTTTCTTTTCAAACCATCGGCACAATCATTACATAAATCTAACCTATTCTTTTTTTTAATTATTATTTTTTAAAAGATTTTATTTACTTATTTGAGAGAGAGAATGAGACAGAGAGCATGAGAGAGGGGAGGGTCAGAGGGAGAAGCAGACCCCCTGACGAGCAGGGAGCCCGATGTGGGACTCGATCCAGGGACTCCAGGATCATGACCTGAGCTGAAGGCAGTCACTTAACCAACTGAGCCACCCAGATGCCCCCTCCTGACAATTCTTAATGGAATATGGTTAGTTTCTGCATTTTATTTTTTTATTTTTATTTTTTTAAAGATTTTATTTATTTGAGAGAGAGAGAATGAGAGACAGAGAGCATGAGAGGGAGGAAGGTCAGAGGGAGAAGCAGACTCCCTGCTGAGCATGGAGCCCGATGCAGGACTCGATCCCAGGACTCCAGGATCATGACCTGAGCTGAAGGCAGACGCTTAACGACTGAGCCGCCCAGGCGCCCCTAACCTATTCTTTTTTTAATTATTTTTTTTTTAAAGATTTTATTTACTTATTTGAGAGAGAGAATGAGACAGAGAGCATGAGAGAGGGGAGGGTCAGAGGGAGAAGCAGACTCCCCACTGAGCATGGAGCCCGATGCGGGACTCGATCCCAGGACTCCAGGATCATGACCTGAGCTGAAGGCAGCCGCTTAACCAACTGAGCCGCCCAGGTGCCCCAATCTAACCTATTCTTGAAGGCAACTTCTTTCCAAATGACAAGTTCTATCATTCACTCACTTCACCTCACAAATCCTCAGAGGCCAGGCTTTCCAGGCTCTGGTTAAAGCCAAGTTCCAGTTCTGACGCTTCCCCTCAAACACTGCATGAGTGTAGGTGGCCTTTCTGGGGCCGGTAAATGCCACACGTCACCGCTGCCCACCCTTTCCTGAAGCACGACCACCATTACATGTGCAGCCATCCTCACTGTGTAGGAGTCACATCAGCATGGCTGTGTATGGGGACGTGGACCCGGGATTACTGGAGTCCCAGGGTGGGGAGTAGATGGTCTGTGTGCTCAGGGGGAGCCTGGGGGGCACCATGCGCTGGACATGAAGGGTGAGCAATGAGGAGTTCTGCGTAGGGGGAGCAAAGACCCTGAGGTACAGAGCGAGCGTGTGTGCGTGTGCATGGGTGTGTGTGCACACATGTGCTCCACAAAGGGGCTCCTCAGGCCTAGCGACCCAGCGCCACTAGCTGGTGCCACTCAGATCCCCTCGGTGTGCTCAATGTCCGGCAAAAGGCGCCAACAGCCGCTCAGGGGCCAAAGGATGCCTGGCCCCTCATGCTCACAGCTCTTGCCCCCGCTGTGCCCTCACCTTGCCCTAACTGGCTCCCCATCTTGGGCCTTGGTGTCCATTCTTTCTTCCTGCTGGGTTTTCCAGCTGTCGCATCGCCCCCTGGCAGGGAACATACTCTGCTTGCTTCTACTTGCATACCATCCTGTGGCCTCGTCCCTGTGCACGTGCTCCTCCCCTGCAACCTTGACTGGCTGTGATTACTTCTACCCACATGCTCTTCCCTAGGAGGCCATCCTGACCAACACCAGCAGACTCAGGGGCTCAGCCATTCTGACCTCACCTCTGTGACATGCTCAGCAGGTAACTGACTCATCTCTCTGCTACCGCCACCAGACCATGAGCTCCTTGGGGTGAATCCTTGCACCTACATCTCGGGTCCCACTCAAGATCCAGTCCATCAGGCAGACGACCTCGAGGGAGCTGGGCCCTGGGGCATTATTTATTAACTCCCTCAAGGGCCACTGCAACAATATCTGGTGAGGGAAACTCTTAGGAAAAGCTTCATGGATGAAGCTTGTGGCTCATGGCGCTGCCACCCCTCTCCTGGGGAGTGTCATGGAGTCTGTGCTCAGCCAAGAGCCTGCTGACCAGACAGTGAGGGAGATGGAGCTCCCAGGATCCTGCCCCTCCTGGCATTTCAACTTCACACAAAGCAAACATCACCTATTTAGAAGACTCGGCTTCTTCCTTCCATAGCAACACCCAGTAGGGTCACCATTCCCACAACCTCAGCAAAGAACAACGTGCACTGTAGGGAAATGGATGAAGGCTTTGCAGCCTGGCTCATCATGGCTGTCCATGCCACCAGGCTCCAGAACTGAAGCCAAGGGTCATGGACCACCCAGGGCCCAGTTTTTGAGCCATTAGAAATATTTTCTTTTTCTACCATTTTTGTCTGGCTCTAGTTTTCGTGACTTTGGAACCCTCCCCCCCAAAACCAATGAGTAAAAATTGATGTTTTAAGCTTTTAAAAAAGAACAAGAAAACCCTTTTCTAAAATAAAAGAGAAACACTCCTTAATTAGGGAAAACATCATATCATACTAGGGAGAAGAAAACATCATATAACACTCTCCGGCCAGTTAAAACACTTTCAGCTTACTTACAAAAAAATGCTTTGTCTTTTTTTCTCCCCCATATAAACAGATGGAAAGTGCAAGGAAAATCGAATTGTGACTTCAGCACCAAGGAAGCTCTTCTTCCTAGAAGCCCAGGCTCTCCCTATCTGGCCCTCATCTTCCCCAGCGCACCCACTCAGTTGATCTGTAGGCTGCAGATATGGTGTGTAGAGCAGAGCCATATGCACTGTGGCAGATAAGCTCTCCAAGGCCAACTCGTGGCCCCGAGTGCTCAACACATGATGGCACTGACGAGGACTGAGGCCTCCCAACCTGACCTAAGCCCAGTCACAGAGATGTCAGGGAGCCTGCTGGGGAGAGAACCCACGGCTCAGTGGTGGTCCTGCGGCCCACGTGGGTTCACGACAGAATGAGAGCCTGAACATCCCTCCGCTCCGCCAGCAGCACCTTGGCTTGCAAGCGCTGACCACCAGACCAGCAGTGACTCTAAGAGGAGTCTATCATAGACGGTCCCAAAGTGTGTGCCCAAGGAGGACACAATGACTCGTAGGCATCTCCCTTGTGCTCAGGAAAACCAGCTGGAGGAAAGAGACTCTCACATTTGAGAGGCTGAGAATCAACCATGGCAATTTAGAGGGGACGCCAGAAGGTCTCTAGAGCAGGAAGCCTGCTCTCCACAGCTGAAGCCTTTACTAGCTTTCTTGCTCTAAACTTTGACTTGAGAGTGTCACCCCACTCACACCTACACTCCTCTTCACCCCTTCTGCAACTGTACAATGGCAGAAGATGGTGGCTTGTGGACATGAACTTGGGGGCAGAAGTCAAGGTCACTGAGGCTTGGGTCCCAGGAGCTGGTCTGGGGCGAGGATGAGAGGAATCCCATGAAGTATGTGGGAACCCCCAAGTGCGATCCTGAGAGGTGGGGCCTGAACATGTCCTGGGAGGTTCAAACATGGGGTCCACAGTCACCACCACAAGGGCTGCATTTTTAATAGCGGGCAGAGAAGTGGGGGCCAGAGGGGTAATAGGGACAGGAAGCCTTGCCCTCCCCTAGGTGACACCCCCCTGGAAGACTGGAGACACAGGGGTACATCTGGCAGGAACAGTGTCCTCCTGGGGTCTCCCTAATTGGCTGCGCCCTGCACGTTCCACGGACCACTCAGCATGTGGAGGCTGGTCCCGCACCTGAGCAAGATGCTGGCATCCGGGCGGGGGTGGGGAGGCATGCCTGTGGGTTAACCAAGTGGCTGAAGAAATGGGAAGGCGCTTCTGGGAGTGGGGCACCGGGGGAGCCCTGACAAACCCGGCATGGCTGCTCACACACCTGCAGCCTGTGCCACTCCTCACGTAGGCCCCTCAACCTCAGGAGGCAACACCATCACCCCATTTTACAGAATCAGACAGCCCACATACCACTCAAGCCACACTCTGCCAGGAAGGACCCAGGCACTGAGTCACCGTGGTGCCCAAAGACCACGAAGTCCCCGCCTTAGGAAGCTGCCTTTCTGGGAGGACCAATGTGTAAACAAGTAAGAAAGCACCAAGGAGCGTTGATGGGCAGGAGGGTGGTATAGGCTGCCCCATTGGTTTGGGGGACCACGTGGAGCCTGAGGGCGCCTCTCAGTGGCAGGGCAGGGCACGGCCACCAAGCCTGAAGCCCTTTGGGCCTGTGCAGGCTCCTCTCTGCAGCAGGGACCCTGGAGGTGAGAGCCAGCATGCCTTGTCTTCATGCCCCAAACAGAAGATCCCTCCCTGCCTGCCCCACCCAACGAGGCCACCAGCAAGCAGGGAAAGCAGAGATTTTCCTTCTTGTGCCCCAGGCAACCACATCGTGGTAGGAGCTGGAAGAGAGCAGCTGAAGCTAGATACCCCCACAGCCTCCCCAGCCATCCTGACACAGGGTGGCCACAGACCTGCACTTACACCTGCCTCTGGCCTACATGCTGGACTGTCCACTCTTATTTAAGGAAAGGAAAACTGATGAAGACCTTTTGGCCCTTGGGGTTTGGAACCCTGTATCTGGAGTAAGATGCTCTCTTCAAACTGCCAACCTGCCATCAGATTTTGTGCTGAAAGACAAAGAAGGGGCTTCACCTGCTGGTTTCTGAGCTCAGGAAGCTCACTAAGTGGCTGGCCCACAGCACAGGCCCCGCGAACGTGGCAAACGCTGTCAGGAACATAGCTGGGACCTCCATGTAGGTGTCCAGGCCCACGAAGCCCGCTGAGACATCCACCGTGGCTATGTTGTTGGAGTTTCCCTGCAACACAGGGAGAAGCAGCACTGACGTGGCCACCAGCAACCACAAATAGCCGCACGCGGTCACGGTGACATGGACACACGGGAGCCCCAGATGCCCGCCCACCCCCTTCCCGCCTTGCTTCCAGGTGGGGAGGAACAAGTGAAATGTCTTCTACCTTCAAGAAACTAAACAAATAAAAGTCGTATGATGAACTATGGCAAATTCCAAACTCCTCTCAGCTCTATCTACCGGAGACAGACACGCTGACCTCCCTGTGCTGAGGGACCTGTCTGGAGGGCTGCGCCTGGCCTTGGGAGGCAAAGTGGCCAAGGGGAGGCTGGGGGTGGTGTTGCCAAATGGCTCCTTCAATGGGTGGACACTGCTGTTAGGCAGAACAGGGCACGCTGGTCACGGGGAGGGCTTGGCGTGTCAGACCGGAGACCCTGGTGGATCACCGCCCAGTCCCGGGTGTAATGCATAGTTCGTCCTGCATAGGAGGGTGGGGTTTGCATCCAAGGGAAACCTCTCCTAGATTCAGCTCTTCTCTCCACTTTCAGTCTCTACCACTGCTGGTGTCCTTTTCCTCAGCTACTCCGGACATTTGTAAGTTTGACATTTGCCTGTCCCAGTCCAACTAAGGCCCCTCCTGGAACCACTTATCAATGGCCCGGGACACAACTCCAGCTGGGTGTTTATGGCTTCACAAATCTGACAGTGGAACCCCACTGCCTCCTCCTTTGCTGTGTCATTGCAGGTGGCCACCGGGTCATGGTGGCAGACCTCCCAAATGTCTCGAAGACATGCATTTACTCCTGTCCTCACCACCTCTTACAGCGGGCCCCTCCCCTGACAGCAACCTCCACTGTGCAGCTTCCCCTTCAGCCACTTTGCCCGTGGCTGCCTGGGCTCTCTCCTGATTACTGAATTCCTACTTAGAAGCCCCTCGCTACAGACTGAGGAGACCCCAGAGCTGCTGAGAAGAGGGAAGAACAAGAGTCCCAAGTGCTGCAGCAAGGGGAGGCACGACGACGACAGACACACGGTTACAACACCGTGAAGTCCCCTGCTCTGGGGCTTTACTTGCATCTACTCATTTAATCCTCCACAGTCCTGACGTGGTGCCATTGTGGCTCTCAGTGAACTGGTGGGACACTGAGGTACGGAGACCCAGAGGAGGCCAGCTGGGTGCCACACTCCCGACCCCTGTGTGACCAGGCGTCCCCGAGCTGAGGGCAGGAAGGAGGGGCAGCAAGCCTGCAGGTCTTCTCCCAGGAGACAGGACCGTGACGGAAGGGCTATGGGCAGGGTTGAGACGAGGGAGGCCCGCGCTGCTGTTGGTCACTGCCTGAAGCGCCGTGGTCTGTGCTGGTTTTGCATGCCGACAGACCCCCCAGCCCAGACCGGCGCCGCTGCGATCGGACACGCGCGTTCCGCTGCCAAGTTCCAGCACCGTGTGCCATGAGGGATGCCTTGTCACCGCCCCGTGGAATGTGGCTATGTGCCGCAGAGGAGCACACAGAACGTGAGGCGGTCTGCTCGCTCAGGGCACGACCGTGGCTCCGTCAGTCTTCCTGACACCAAGGCCTCAGCGCGGGCCAGGGTGCCTAAGCGGCAGCCACCTTCTTCTTCCGCACTAAGAGGCAGCCTGCTGGACTCTCAGCACGTGTGCGACCAGTCCGCAAGCACCAGGCCGTATCTGCAGATACGCCAGGACCACGCCCGCAAGGAGCCCCGGCTATCCACACACCCCTGGTGCCCTCTGTGCTCACTGGACGTGGTCGCTGTCCAGCACGGTGCCCGGGAGCCTGGACTAGGGAGAGGGGCGTGGTGATCTTCCATGGTGATGGCATTCCCATTCCCCACCCAGGCACTCGTGGTCAGAGACGGAGGCCACCACCAGAAGAGGCCTGTGCATGACTTTCAAAGAGAGGACTGTGAGGCTGACGGGCCATCTAGAAATTGCAGGAATGCTTAGCAAAGCTTGAAGTCCTTCTACGGCAACACATCAGTTACACTGAATGGCCAAGCGTGAAAGAACCTTAACATAGGTGTGTCGCTACCAACAAGGCAGAGCGAGTCTCACCCAGAAGCAGACTCCAGACCCGTGCCTCTCTCCTCTGCAGCTCGTGGTGCAGTGTTTACAACTGCCTCCTTTATCCTCGTCCCCTTCCCAGCGGGCATTCTGGAATTCCTGGGCAAACTGCATTCCCTCACATCCACAAGGTTGGTGACCTCTTACATTTCTTCCGATAGGTAAGAAAAGGTGTGGCCTTTGAGATGGGGCTGTCTGACACCATGGGGACACACACAGCTGAAAGCCCGTGAGGCTCAACAGAGGCCAGCCTGCCCGGGGCGGAACTGACCGGCAGGTCCCCAGGCGCTGTGTGCTGGTCGCCAGTGCGGTCCTCAGTCACCGACACCTCCCGGGATGGGCAGCAACTCCAGGGAGGTGCGGTCCCTCTCCAGGTCCTACAGACCCCAGTCATGCCTTCCCTATAGGTCCTGCGGAACACCAGCAAGCACAGAGAGCGACTACACAGGATGCCTACCTCCTGTTTGTCACTACTCGATCCTTACAGCAGCCGAGGGGGAGACGGCTGTGGAGTAGCCCATTTTATAGTGAGACCAGGGCACAGCAGGTGCTGCCAGAGGCCATCTGGCTCGGAAGTGCCGGACACCAGTGTTGGGGCTCCAGCCACCCACGTGCAGGGCTGGACTGAGAAGTACGGGGGTCCTCCAGGGGAGATGGACGGTAAGGACGGTCTGAGGGTCAGGTCACATCCTCCAGGACATGATTTCTAGAACTCCCTCCACCCCACCCCTCTCTGGGCTTCCGGGAACAGACAGAGAACAGTGGGGTGGGGGGGCCTGCTCTGTGGGTGAGACCAGGAGTGCCGGCAAAGGAGGGAGAAGTAGGAAGGGCAGGGAAGGAGCCCCAGGCCCACCTGTCGGGACACACAGACCACACAAGTCCCCAGGGACTGAAAGAGGGAGAACCTGGTGCACAGAGACAGTACAGATCCTCACCTTAAAGATGGGAAAACACAACAGAGATGCTCAGGGGCTTGTGCACAGTTCCTCTGCCAGAGGGTGCGGAGCCGGTAGGGGAGTGTGGGGCCCCCTGAACCAGGGCAGAGATGCGGGAAGGCTGGGATGGAACTGAGGCCCTCCCAGACCAGGAGCTGGTCCCTCTGTCCACCTGTCCAGGTTGCGCTCCAAGCACGTAGGCAAATACTGAGATCCATCCCAGAGGCAGCTTCGACTTGCCTCTGGTGGGCCCTTTAACATTGGAGAGAAGACATGATGACCACGGGGCCACAGGGGACTGAGGACCAAGTGAGGACATCCAACAGCACTCGGCACTCATGGCCAGGGGAACGGGCAGAGAGAGTTCAGTCATCACCTCATCAGGTAAAGCAATGGAACTGTGATGGGTGTCCCTAACGGGTCATGGTAAACAGATCCAGTACACAACGTACAATGCTTAATACACTGTCTTAAGCACTCCTGGATCCATAGCGAAGGTGTCAGTCTTAGATAACTAAGTGTATTTTATCCTATCAAATACACACAGGATTTAAGCATCATTCCCCACACCACACTTAAAGTTCCTTCACCGAACAACCTTTCTAACTTCCCAACTTATGGTAAACTTTCTCAAAGAAAAAAGATAAATGACATATAAAAAGTTAATAGATTTCTATCCACGATAATAATGAAAACCTACCTGGAAATAGAAGAATGCTTGACCGAACCAATAATGCATTATAGTGATCTCAGCTGCATCATGCCTCAGAGGCTTCCAGATGAATTTAGTCATTATAGTCTGAATGAAGAGGCTAAACACTAAGACTGGCAGATTATGTGGTCTAAAAAGCAAAGCGGCCAGAAGAACTAATCCACTATATATCTCCCATAAACCCACAGTCTTGATTGTGAAGTCTGCAGCAATGACTTGAGATTTAAGCAAGTCTTTGGTGCCCGTGAACAGAATGCCAAGGACAAAGACATGAACAAAACGAGCTTCAATAACACCCCTAAAAAAAAAGCAAAACAAGTTTGATTCGTTAGCACCAGCTCAAAAAACTCATACATACTCTTCCCATGAAAACCACGTGTCTACTTAAGCTAATTAAACCGTAGCACCTGCCCACCTGGGTGACTCTGTGGAAGTGGAGGTGTCTGCTTCTGCATATCAGCCCCCCAGGAGCCCCCTTGCCCAGGGGCTGGCAGGCCTGTCCTCTCTCTGTGCACTTCTGTGGTGGAACTGGCTTCTGGGAAATCTCGCTCATTTGGCCCAAGGATAGCCTGGTGCAAGACTGGAGCCATCCCCTGCAGGGTGCTGGAAAAACCATCCAGCTGCTTCACGGTGGGTCTGAGAGACCACTGCAGCAGGATAAGGCCAAGCGCTGTCAGAAACGTCCCTGAGCTCACAATGTTAAGATACATTCCGACATGTTTGCAACCAAGTAACCAAGTGCAGTGCGCGCTGTGGGGCCTAGAGAAGGTCAGGGCCAGGTTAGTCAGGGCTCTGCCACTTACTAGCTCTGCCGTTGGGGGAAGTTAGTTAAGGCTTCATCCTTCCTAAAATGAAGAGAAATGGTACCTACACTTCATAAGCTGTCCTGGGGATTAAACAAGAGAACACAGGTAAAGTACGCAGCACACAACAAGTATTAAGGGTTATTAAGAAATATTTTAGGGGCGCCTGGGGGGCTCAGTCGGTGAAGAGTCTGCCTTCACTCAGGTCAGGATCTCAGGGTCCTGGGGTCAAGATCCGCGCTGTCGGGCTCCCTGCTCAGCGGGGGGGGTGGGGTGGGGGTGGGGGTGTCTGCTTCTCCTCCTCCCTCTGCTCCTCCCCCTGCCTGCGCTCTCTCTCTCAAATAAATAAATAAAATCTAAAAAAAAAAAAAAAAGAATTATTTTAGCACTTCATTTCCAATTATTTGTAAAGGATATAATTTATGACACTCTATCAAAAAATTTCATCTTATGAAACACATGCATCCCTACAACACATTTTAAATAAATTTCATAAATCAAATATTTTATATATACAAGAAAAGCTAATCATTTAAAGTAATGCCAAGTAAATTAAATTTTAAATGAAATCATCACCATAATAATGTATGTTTTGAAAAACTGAATTTTCCCTGTTTTGAAAAACAATTGTCCTATCTCAGATTTCCTTACGGAGGTTTATGCACTTAAAAAAAATTCCTTTTATTAAAGCATAGTTTAAATCGAACAGTCAGACCACTGTCTGCTGTGTGCCTCCTCCAGTGTGTAGACACTTGCCATGGGGTCACGCACTGGCCAAGGAGCTGGGGTCAGGTGCAACCGCGTCACCAAGGCGTGTACTAAACGGAAAGCTGATGACTGACCCACAAGGGTTAAAGAAGGAGCAATCAGCCAAGGTCCCGAGTCATCAGAGCGGAAGAATGCTGGGGCAGTCTGGGTGGTGAACAGGAAAGAGAGCAGCAGCGGATGCCTTCTAGGGCTCCAACTGCTTGCCCTAAACCATGCAATGCCATTCCCACACGTCTAGGGCCATGGCAATCTGGCCTTCCACTCCAGCCAAGTCTGGGATTCAGAGTGGTGAAGAAGATTTTAGAATACCGATGGACAGCTTCGGACTGAACAGTGGGAAGCAGCTGTTAGAGCCATCTAGAACCTGACGGCTCCGGAACTGGGGCAGAGCTAGAAGCAGAGGGAGCTAGAACCAGGATGTCTCTAGTACTGGAGCAGATCTAGAAGCAGACGGAGCTAGAACCAGGACAGATGGAGGTGGGGAATGGAAGCATTTCCCAGGAAGAATGTGAGGCAAGCCCCGCAGGTTAATGAAAGGGTGCACCGGTCTCTGCTCTGGACACCAACAAGGTATATGCTGTGGCATCCACGAAAGGCAAGTTGTTCAAGTCTTGAGATGAGTGATCACGAAATTAGGTGCATTGATCTGAGAGGAAATGAGGAATTTATTCATGTTTCACACTTGAACACCCTCAAACGTGACGCCCAGCCTTGACATCTGCTCAGAGTCTCAGGCTCCAAAGTGGACAGCCTTTGAGATGTCTCCCCACCATCCGCCCCCTACCTGACCTCGCTGCCTCAGGAGAAGGCCTGCCACCCTGCTGTCACCTCAGCCAGGGTCTTGGCGTCACCTCAACTGCCCCTACCGTCGGCAGGTCCTGCTTCCAGGTGTGCCCCATGGCTCCTGGGCACCCACACAGCCTGGTCACAGCCCTCAGCTTATACCTCGACCTTTTCAGAGAAGATGACATTTGCTTTTCTTTCTCTGACTAGAAAAGCAATAAAAAAAATGCATGAAAAGGAAGAGCACAAGCTACCTGTGATTCCATGTCCTAAATATAATCACAACCAATTACCTATTTTAGTCTTTCATACAAACATAAAAAAAATATGTACATACTTCATAAGATGGGGTCATACAATAGTTTTACAGCCTGTCAATCCACATCTTCATGTCTTCTATGAAAGCACACTAGTCAGCACAGAGCTTTAACATCATTCAGAGGCTCATCCCACCACTGTTGGCCAATTACCTTGTTTTGTATTATGTGCACCTGTAAATCAGTTTTCAGAGAGCCTGCCTGTGTGCCGGTATCAGGCCTCGTCTCTGGGTGGATTCCTGAGGTACATTCCATAAGAGGGCGCCCAGGTCAGAGGGCTGGACACACTCAAGGTTCTTAACACATTTTACAAACAGCCGCCAGGATGGCCTCTGCTCACCCCACCCCACATCACCATTAAGAAAAGAAAAGCTGCCAGTCTGTGACAAAAAGTGGCCTTCATGACTCAGCACGAGGGGGCCCTCCCCACCCCCGGAGCTCACCGTAAATTATGGGAGAGCTGATTTTTCTGGTGTGCCTTTATTTCCCAGCTGCTAGGAAGCATCCACTCTTTGTGATTGCTGTTACTATGTCTTAACTGAGCAAAAGTAAACCCTTTAAATTCCTTATTTTCAGGGAACCCCTTATTTTAAAAAAGAAAGCTCAGTGGCCTTACTGCATTGTATGTCTCTCTCCTCCCAAAACAAAGAAGCTAAAAGAATCCGTTCACTGAGGCATTCCTTGTCAGGCTCCAGTAACTGCTGAGATCACAAGTCGCAGGAACCAACTCCAAAGTTCTCAAGACTGCACGGCCTGCTTTAGTACCTAAAACATGAAATTGATTTGCCAGTGCACTTACTTTGAAATGTCTTTGCTGTCTTGTTGCCATGGGAACAGGACATTTCCAATGGCCGCCCGGTAGCAATAGACGCCCAGCAGGCCAAGTGCCATGGCTACTTTTGACGTCAGAGAGCACCTCCTCTGAACCAGTGCGAAAATCACGATGAGCGAAAGGGCAGCCAGAAGAGAGAGTGCAGCTTTGTGATCAGAGCTGAAATGAAATGGAAAAGGCCCCAAATTACTAACAAGTGTAACTGGCGATGTCATGGATCTACATCAAGTGGCTTTCTAAGAACTTAGCTGATTTTTCTGAAAAGCAAAACAGAGAAGAAAATCATCGGTGATTTAAATTCAAAGGTTCTTAAAATGTGACAAATGAAGGACGGCTACCCTGAACTCTCATTTCCATTCCCAAATGGCCCCTGCCACCAGGCCTTCACTGGCCAGCGCAGTGATCTGTATAAAACACTATCCACTGGCTCCCCTGGCAGCCCCACGTTCCCCACCCAGAGATGAAGAGACTCTGGGCACAATGCATTTACCAGCGAACACCCTGCTCAGGGAGACAGGCACGTCCCGGCGTGATTCTCTCTCATTCACTCATTGGCACAGACTGACTCACTTAAAAGAGTGTCTGCTCGTTCCCAGGTGGGGAGACTTTGCAGAGGGGCTGAGCATCTCCGCCTGGAGCACGAAGCTGTCACAGCAGAGCTGGGCCCCCCGCTCTGCCTGGCCCTGGCCCACCATCCTGCTACCTCGGGGAGGGCTGTGCTGGAAGGCAGGATTCTTTTCTGTGTCATTCACCACAGCTCGTGCTCACAAAGCCCAGACACTCAGAGTTGTTAAGTGGATGAGTGACTATCTTGCCAAGTGAACACACATCAGTGGAAAAACTACATGGAAAAGACTCAGAGGAAAGATGTGGCCAGTGTCAGGACGTGGGCCCACGGATGGCAGGTGGTGACAGGGGTCATGTTGGGGCCTGGCCCTGCCCTGGTCCTTGCTCTGGGAGGCGGTCACCTGGGTGTCCATTCACTGTTGCCCTTTAAACTGTGTATTGTGCACTCTCCTAGATTGTTAATTATAACAACTGAAAGACAGCAATAAGGAAGGTGAGTTTACATGCCTCCCCAGAAGCTCTGCTATGAAGAGAAATGGGGCCACACTGCCACCTCTTCACAAACTGACAGGAGTAACTCAGCAGCACAGGGAAGACTCGTGATGCAGGAGGGGGGCATCCTGTTGGGGAGACTGTGCTGAAGGAGGGTCCAGACTAAGGAGTGGGGTGGGGCGGCGGGGGAGGGGGAGGCGTGAGGCATCGGGCCTGGGAATCAGCACATTCTCCTGCACGGCTTCAACTCTCCAGAAAAATACTAAGTGAGGCCACTGGGCTGTCCCGGGGCTCTCCCAACCTCACATGCTTGGGCAGGTGCCTCAACTCCCTTCTGCTTCCTCTTCTGAGGTGGGACAGGCCAGCAACCTCTCTCTGCAGGCTTGCTGTGAAAATGAAAGGAGCAGGCACATGGCAGGCCCCTGGAAAAAGCTGCCTGTGGTTCCCGTGGTTGCCAGGGCTTTGCTAACAGAGTGAACACCTGGGAAAAATTTCCCACCAGAATTATTTGACCAGAGGAAGGATTTTTATAGCTTTTGATGGATAGTTCCAGGTATCTTCCCAAAGGACCACGGCAGTGTATGGTCAGGGGTCCTCTGCTGCTACCCAGGACTGGGTTCTATCACTTCCTTCTGTGTGTCTACCTGACTATGAGTAAAATCACGCCTTGTTGTTTGACCCAAAGCTCCCCGATCCCCAGGAGGGCGAGCATGTCCCTTCTCTTTCTTTTGGCATTCCCTCCTTTAGGATGTCTGGCACTGTCCTGAGCCCCCCTCCTGCTGGTAATTTTCATGTAAGTCCTTCACAGCAACAGGAAACAAATGTCCATTCTGTTCTCTTCCTTCTACTTTAGTTTTCTAAGTCTTCACTGACAGACAATTAAAATGTATAACATAGGGGTGCCTGGGTAGCTTAGTCGGTTCAGCGTCTGTCCTTGGCTCAGGTCATGATCCCGGGATCCTGGGATTGAGCCCCGCATCATATCAGGTCCTTGCTCAGCGGGGAGCCTGCTTCTCTCTCTGCCGCTCCCCCTGCTTGTGGGCACTCTCTCTCTCTCTCTTTCAAATAAATAAATAAATAAATCTTAATATATATATATATAATATAGTCACTTTTTAAAAAATTTTTTGAGAGAGAGAGAGAATGCACGGGGCGGGGTGGGGGGGGGTAGAGGCAGAAGCAGAAGGAGAGAGAGAATCTCAAGCAGACTCCATGCTGAGTGTGGAGCCGGACATGAGGCTCAATCGCCCGACCCTGAGACCATGACATGAGCTGAAATCAAGAGTCAGACACTTAACTGACTGGGCCACCCAGGCGCCCCGATACAGCCACATCTTGACTTTTTCTGTCTCAGTTCCCTCTCTCTGCTTTCATCCTCCCCATTTGCTATACTTTTGACTAGGCTGTCCAGCCACTGGCTTCAGGGTGGGGAGAGAGGAGTGGGTGGCCAGAGGGAGCATGGCCCCGTCCCAGCCCTACCTTGTCAGGGAGGTGGCAGCAAGTGACAAAACTACATCCTTGCTGCAGTTGTCATTTTAACACTCAAAGGTTTTCAAACATAAACAATTACAGTGATTCAGCAATTAAAAAAACCCGAAGAAATCCATCTTTCAACATCAAATCATGGCTTACGGTCTATGTTTCCATTTCTTCAGATCTCAAATACCACTTCTGTTCTGAATATGAAGAATAGGCCTACATTTTGAAAAAGAAGACTGTGTGGTCAGTCAACCATGCAAGGTCTGGCCTAAGGCCACAGCTCATGCTCTCACCTGGTGAGCCAATGCCCCAGGTCAGGCCGGTGGGCCCACTGCACACCCGTCTGGTTTAGTGACCGCAGCAGCCGACAGCAGGTAAGTATCACCCATGGGCTGGCTAACACCATCCACTTCTCACAGCCTCTGAGCGTGTCAAGGGAAGTGGGGTCCTCAGACACTCCGTGGGGCTCTAACATGTTACAGTGGATGCTCCTGTCCTGTAATGCTGGTGCAGTGCTGACGAATCCCTCCTCCACGTGTGAGCACTGCTGGGGCTCACAGTCGTCCCTCAGAAAGCAGTTTCTGTAGACTTCGTGACACAGAGCCAGACACAGGGTGTTAATGAGGAAATACCAGGTCTGGTGCTCCTCCTCGATGAAGCTGCTTGCACCCAGACTCAGCACGTGGCCCATGGTCCCGAGTAAGATAAGAACATCTAACTCCGACCATCGTGCCTTTGGATGAGCTGGATTCTGTAGAAGGAAAGTGCATTTTGTGAGGAAAAATATAAAAATTACACAAATCCTACCACATGCACTTCCAAGTTCTTGCTCACAGAGCATAACCTGCTGTGACAGGTATGTACTGCTCCTCACGCCCCACACCCATCTCCTGCGCTGATGGGACTGCCTATCCTCCTGGGGCATGGGCAGTTGTCTCCCTGGGCTGCGAGCCCTAAGCTGAGCGACCCACGCCAACTGGGCAGTGCTGCAGCTCAGAGAGCTCACCTACCAGCCCTGCTGGAACCCTTCTCTCACCCTTTCCCGGGGAGCCTGAGGTCTTCAGGGGTGGGCCACAGTCAGTTCCTGCTATTTGAAACCAAAGAACCCCCAGGATATATTCCACCAAAGCAGACATCTAATTTTGCCATGACTTTTCCAGAAATCCAGACAGTTTTCATTAAAATGGTCAATTCTCTTGAAATAAGAAAGTTGGCATCACAGTATTATCCTTTAAATAGACTAACTGAAGGCATTTAAAATTAAAGATGAGGATTTAATGACTGTCATTTGATAACTACTTAATAATATTGACTCTATTTATCGTGTACAGCGGTATAAGAAAGAAAGAGAGATACCATGAATCTATTTAGGCCCCAGGGAATCAAACGGCTCTAGGGAAACCTATGCTCTCCAATGGGGAACAGAAATGTGCTATAAACAACAACCCGTGAGTTCCTCAAACACACGCACGCAGGGAGGGGCCTCAGAGGGCTTCAAGATGAGGCAGCTGCACTGGGGGTGGGGGTGGGGGGGCTGGAGTCACCTCCCTGAGTCCCTTGGGCTCCTGGCATCCTGGACCAACCGTGGCTGTCCACCTCTGCTTCACTGGTCTGCCACCACAACCATGAATAAAGGTGTCAGAGGCCAAAGAGTCTAAGAAGTCTGAAGGAAAACATCAGTCTTGAAAAGAAAAGGCAGGATGGACTCCCAAGGAGGGCAGGATGAGGACAGGGTCCCGGCCTCCTGCTGACCTTCCTAGAAGGTCTAACGAGCTGACTCTTTTCTCTCGGTAACATTCTTCCCTTGGCTGCCGCTCAAACTCTTTCGGAGAGATGTCTGGTTCACAAACTGCCCCAGCAGCCAACTGCCTATTCTTCTGTGACCAACAGCTCTGTACAGTGTCATGTTTATGGTCCCAGGGACCCTGTCTTTCCCATGAAGAAAGGAGGCATGTGACCTGACAACACAGATCGGAGTGTCTGGAGTCAGGATGCTCAGACGTCGGCCCCTCTGAAGTGGCTCCTTGACTCCGCCTGATACACAGCTGGTGTTTAGCCAGTGGCTGATGAATGAAACATCAGCTGAAATAAGACAAAATGGCCTATTCCGAAAGCCAGTGTCCTATGTGTAGGAACGAGCCTTACCTTGCTCAGGAATTTTCCAGAGGCAAACATCTTGGCAAGAGCAGACACGACTGCACAGAGCAGTGCAGAGATCAACGCCATCACTCCGCCTGCTGTCAGCCACGAGAGGCCACAGAAATAGCAGGAACTCTCGGCCGAGGTGCACACAATGACATGAAGAGCAGAAAGAACCAGGAACATCAAATAAAAGAGCAGAGAAAACGCAGGCGACCAGAGAGGAACCTCCAGTTCAGCCTTGCTGCTCAGAGCTTGCGGGATGCTGAGTAGGAGCAGGGCTAGAACCTGGAATAGGAAAACAGCAGCAGTGTCCACGCCTGCTGGGCTTGGAGAGAACTGTTCAGAAAAAGCCTGTCTCCTGACCTTGTGCCAGCTATTCGGCTGTTGGAAACAGAAGAAGAAAGCCCATTGAACACGATTTCTGATGACCTACCAAGAACGTACACATGCAGCCATGTGGAGCACAGCCACTTGACGCCTGACGATACTTTGGGCGTGACGACAGACAATGAAAGAGTTCAACAAACAAAGAAACTGGGTATTTTCCCATTTTCAGAAAAAAATAATACTTTATATGCTTTAAACTACAATATCCTGGCTGAGATATCAAATCAGTTTAACGGCTGAGCCATAACTCCACACAAGCTCCCGTACCTCCAAAACCATGACAGTCCCCACCAGCATCGAGTAGATGTCGTACTGGGCCACTTGTCTGCTCAGGGACAGGCTCAGGGTCCTCAGGGCATCCAAGTACTGCCTTCGAACCTTGGCTCCCAGGTTGAAAAGGACTTCTGAGTTATTTTCCTCCAAGTACAGTCTGATCCAGTTCCCATGCAACCTCTCTGACATTTTAAACTGCTCAAATCCAGGCTCTAACAAGAAGAGGACAAGGTTACACATACAGATCACAGACATTCACGCACATATATCATTTCAAAGTATTCAGTTATTCACAGCACGTGGTGTGAGCAGAAAGCCTGCTACCTAATGAAGATGAACTATTCCTTAGGGGGTGGCCAGCAACGCCTTCAGTAAAACAACAGCCAGTGGTGCTCACGAATCCTCGGACCTCCAGCCTGCCTGCCAGCCCGCCACGGCCCGAGGCACAAAGCAGCACACGACATGGATACAGGTGTCTGCCCACTGCTCTGCCACCCTTTCTCTCCCTCCCACACCTGCCCTCGCCTCCTCCTCCTCCCCCTTCTCTCTCAGTCTCTCTCCAAGCTTTTCTTCTTTCCCATATGCAATATAGAAACACCCCAGGGACGCCTGGGTGGCTCAGTCGGTTGAGCGTCTGCCTTCGGCTCAGGTCATGGTCCCAGGGTCCTGGGATGGAGCCCTGCTCGGCGGGGAGCCTGCTTCTCCCTCTGCCTCTGCTGCTCCCCGTGCCTGTGTGCACTCTCTCTCTCTGACAAATGAGTAAATAAAATTTTTTTTTTTTAAAGGTTTTATTTATTTGACAGAGAGAAACACAGCTAGAGAGGGAACACAAGCAGGGGGAGTGGGAGAGGGAGAAGCAGGCTCCCCGCGGAGCAGGGAGCCTGATGCGGGGCTCGATCCCAGGACCCTGGGACCAGGACCTGAGCCGAAGGCAGACGCTCAACGACTGAGCCACCCAGGCGCCCCAGTAAATAAAATGTTTAAAAGACAAAACCAAAAACAACCTAGAAAGGCATTACATTAATAGGCCCTTGGTGTTACAAATTTCCCACCTTTGACCTGCTTCCCTTCTTCACGTGGCCTGACCCCTCCTGCCATGATGCCGAGCTAGAGGACCCAACCCGATGCACAGCTAGGGCTGACAGAACAGCTCCTGGATTGAAGCCCAGCCCCAAATGCTGCTGGCTCCCACTCTGGGACGGCAACGGCAGGCAGCTCAGCATCAGGAAGCTGCCTTGCTTCCTTCTGGAGTTGGACCAGACTTACTGGTGACTCAACTAGTCTGCAAAACAAGGACTTCCTTTCTGAGACTCCATGGTATTTATTGTGCTCTTCCGACTTCCAGCAGAGCTATTCCAAGGTGGTCTAGGCCATGTCTTGCAGGATTAGGGTTAGGGTTGCTGTATAACCCTGAGCACAGCCCAAATGCCTGAAGCCCTTCCATGCTGTGGAGACCAGGTGACCAAGTGCTGGTGGCCGGCGTTACTCCAAGCCCCTCACGCCTGTCCTCTCCCCATGACCTGAGATAGGGGTGACGACCATGCCCACCCCAGAGAGAAGGCACGCAGACACCAGCTCATGGGCTGGCAGGTGACGGCTGGGATCTAAACTCAAGTAGTCTGGACCTAGGATGGAACCCTTGTTACACCCCACCATCCTGAAGTCACAGAGGCAGGGGCACCTGTGGCTGTACCCAGAATCACAGAGACATAGGGGCAGCAGTGTCTGTACTCCTCCACCCAGAACCAGCAAGAAGTGGACGCCTGCGTACATATCCAAACAAGTATTTACTGAGCACTGACTACATGCTATGTGCAAACAGGTACGGTTCTGCCTGCTTGGGCCTGTGATCTAGCTGGGTTCTCACATGTGTGTGTAAGTACAAATCGTGAAAAATGCTGTGGAGGAAAGTAGGGGGATGGGGGTGACTTTTGGTAACACCGAAGAAACTGAAATCTGGGGTTGAGGGTGGGGGACAAGAAGGTCTGACACCGAAGCTGAAGTGGAAGGTGGCCCAGAAATCCATCAGGTGATAACTGGGGAAGAGCATCCAGTCTATGGGAGGAGCATGTGCAAAGGTCCTGAGGTGAGAAAAGTCTGTACAACTGTAATAAAAGTCAGGGGAGCGATGGAAGAGTTGTATCAGATTGGGCTGGATATCAGGGGAGGCCTTGAAATTGACTTCAGTGTCAGACATGTACCCAGTTTCGTCTCAGGAAACAGGATCACTGATCGTATAGACAAAGGGCTTTCTCATGCCAGGGACTGGCCTTTGCTCATCTCATAGGGTTCTTTCTGGCCACACGCACTGCAGAGCTTCATTCTCCCTACTGATCCTCCTGAAATAAGCAAAAAGCCCCCATTGTGGTTTTGTTTGGTGTTTTATTGGTTGTTAGTACAGGAAAAAGGACATATTACCAATAACAAATTTGCAAAAGCTACCAAACTCACAAGTTACTTTTAAAAACAAATAAAGTAACTACTGTCTCTCCCCTGGACTGAAATGTGCAACTGGGCCAGCCTCACTTTTCACACAGTTGCTCTCACAGGGGCCACCTCACCGACAAGGGGCTGTCCCCCTAAGCTCTCCCACCATTCAGGACACCCGGCACCGCACTAGTCCTTGCTGGTCTTCAGGCAAGTCAAGACCAGCCTACATCTCAGCTCAAACTCATGGGCATTCACTCTACTAACTAGTACTCCACTTTCTCAAGTAGGAAAAGCTGCCAACATCACATTAAATGCTGCCTCAAACTAGGCGTTGAAACCAGCCCCAGTCCCAGCACCAAACATGTTGTCCTTGATGCACCCTGATGGTCAGATAAATTGTTTGAAAAGATGGTCCTGGGGAGATGTGCTCTCTTGTTCTGGATCATTCCTACCAGCATAGAAATACCCCTTAGCTTCTCCCAGCTTAAAAATATAAACAACAGGGGCGCCTGGGTGGCTCAGTCGTTAAGCGTCTGCCTCCGGCTCAGGCCATGATCCTGGAGTCCCAGGATCGAATCCTGCATCGGGCTCCCTGCTCGGCGGGGAGCCTGCTTCTCCCTCTCCCATTCCCCCTGCTTGTGTTCCCTCTCTCACTGTGTCTATCTCTGTCAAATAAGTAAATAAAATCTTTAAAACAGATACATAAACAACATACCCTGCGCTGGCCTCTGTCCACCTCACACAACACCCATTTCCACGCCCCACTTCCTTCCCTGCCCTGACTCCAGCCCAGCCTTCCCCCAGCACTCTACGGGCACCGCTCCTGACAGAGTCGCTGGTAACCTCACCTGCGAGATGAACGGTCAAGTCTTGGTTCCTCAGTTCATCTAACCTTGAGCAGCATTCAACTTGGCCGCTCACTCCTCCCTTCCTAAAATTCTTTCCTTTACTTGGCTTCCTCAACACCAATCCCCTCACCCTGCAAGCACCCCACTCCCACACTTCAGTAATGGTCACCCCATTCTTCCACTGCGCTGCTGAACACGCCAAGTTGTTCCTTACACCTCTGGTTCACCTGCACCTTATATCCAGTGCATCGGCAAATCCTGCTTGCACTGCCTTCAAAATATACCTGGAATGCTGCCATCTGTCCTGGATATAGCACGCCACTGCCTGGGCCCTCACCACACCTCTCACTGGGGTACTGCAGCAGCCTTCAGACTCTCCTACAACACAAGGCAGAACCCTTCACACGGGCACCCAAGAGAGCCTCTGAAGATGCAGCTCGAAGATTTCAGACTCTACGGAAGGCTGCATGAGCTCCCCACCTAGCTCATGACAGAAGAGCCCCTCCAGGCCTAAAAGGCCCCCATATCCCTCTGACCTCGTCTCCTTCTGCCTTGCCCCAGTTCACCCTGCTCCGGTCACTCTGTCCCCTGGTCACCCTTTGAATGTGCAGACACGTCCCCGCTGCAGGGTCCTGCATCTGCCACACACTCCGAGTCTCAAAGCCCAGGCCTCTGCCCCGACAGCCCTCAGCCACCTGCGCTCCCCATCCCTTCCCCACTCCACCCTTCTTCTGAGGCACTCATCACCATCTGATGGCTGCTGCCGCTTCTCCGCATGGGGGCAGAGCCCTATGTCTCAGGTGCCTTTAACAGTTCTCAGCCAGATAGGAACGTAGTGAAAAAATTCCATATTTGTTGAACGAATACATTTATGAAAGAGCTTGATGTAGATCACTGTATCTGTGGGTGCTGCTGACGGTGACCATCAGGGTTCTAAGAAAACCGAAGTACAGTCAAAGACTGAGACGAACGCAGGAGAACACCAGGCGCAGTGGAAACAGTCTATTAACTGAGTTACCTTTTGTGTATGACGGCACGTTCTCTTGCAACAATTTGCTGAGCTGCACTGCATTTAAATGTAAAAACCTCAGCTGTTCTCTCACCGGTCTCCCTTCCACGGTAGGGAACAGGAGGCTGCCGACACTGTTCCCTGGGATCGGCAGACCGAGCCCTATTGCTAGGGTTGCAGCCAAGTCAGTCTGTTGAACATGCTTTGGACGTCTGATGTCACCTAGAGAAAAGAAAGGGGTTTATGTGACAGGCTCTCAAACGTGTATGATGGTGGTCCTTCCCTTGACCTGCTACAATCAATTGCGCACCTCTTCAAAGCATTCCATGTACATTCATCAAGAAATCACCTCACTGGTGTTTCTGTCAACAAACTTACTAAGCACTCATTCTGTGTGGGCACGGGGCCTTCCGCAAAGTAGCATACAACTTGTGGGAGAGATACCAGCACAAGAAACTCAATATTGCCTGAGTTTCAGGGCCGGGGCTGGGCATGCAGAGAGAAGGGAGCTCTGCAGATGCGGAGGGATGGTCACTTTGGTGAAGCCAACGGTCAACCTCCTGAACCAGGATGACGGTGGGATCTCTGGCGGCCCCACCCCTGTGGGTTCAGAGAGGCCTACATAGCACTGAGAAATGAACACAGGCATCTCAGCGGTTCTTGAGCAGTAGAAGGCACCTCTAACTGGGGAGAGTAGAATGAGGCTGGATTCAGCTGGGCCGAGTCCTATAACCAACTCCAACAAACAAGACATCTGCCTACTGATGGCCCCAGCAATTGAAGGGCTTCAGGTCGTAGCAATGGCTGGCCTCCCTACTAACCCTTGCAAGGAGAATGGGTGTCACAGCAGGGCACTGGGCTCACACTCCTGCTTTGCCACTATCTAGCTGATGCCTTGGACAAGAACTCGACTTTGTTAGACTTTTCTCATCTGTAAAGAGAATACCCAGCACCCACCCCCGCCCCCCAGCCGCCCCCACCTCCCCCCTGCGCAACTACAATACAGGTCTGAGGGGACCTGAGGGGGCCACCAGGGAAGTCTACCCAGGGGAGCTGGTGCTGGGTGGGAGTACCTTAGACACTCTAGTGTGGGTTTGTAGAGGTTTTACTTTGATTATGGTACTTTTTGGTTGTATAGAATTTTTCTTTTTAATTTGGTCAAATATATTAATCTTTTCTTGACCAACCCTCCACTGATGGCTTCTGGGTTATACTTAGAAAGAACCCTCTACTCCAGTATTATCATTTGTTTTCTTCTAGTATTTTCTTGTATTAATCAAAGATTAAGCTTTGATCTGAAACAGAACAAAACCCAAAGCAAAAAGCCCACCTTAAACTGCTTTTGGCACTGATAAAGGTGGTGGTGCTGGTGTTATACTGAGACTACTGTGGGTCATTATATGATACTCATATCCAGGCTATTGTAGACAACCAGGATCCTAAGGTTGGGAGAAAGAGAGAACAGACGGAAGATCTAAGAATTTCATTTTACAGTAGTGAATGTGGATTGCAAGTAATAAGACAAGCTCAAGACCAATTTTATCTTAAAAAGATTTCCTTGCTTTGTCCAGAAATGATAACTATGCAAATACCCATGAGTACTGCTAGCTCTGAGACGGTGGTCCTCAAAGATCCCTTTCCACTGAAAGGAACAAGGGAATCCTGGAGAAGCAGCTGATTCCAGGTCTAGGCAAGGAATTGTGCACGAGAGGCTGGAACAACTTTTCAGACCCGGCAACAACAGAGCCCTCAGAGATACGACGGTGTTTGAGACCTCCAAGCTGGAAGGACTCAGGAGCTAATCTGAATCAGAGGCTCCTACTGGCCAAAGATGGGACAATCTGAATATTAAAAAGAATAATATTTGTACTGAACTGAAACAAACTATGCTTAAATCCATGAGTTTACAAAGCTACCGAACACCAACAACACAAAACCCTAATTGGTTATAGCTGAAGCACAGTAGTGAACTCACAGTGAACTAATTCATCGATTTGAAACTGGAAATTAAGTGGAAAGAATAACTCATCTTTACTCCCATCTCTGTTACAAAAATGGTACTGCTAGGTAATAAAGTAGATTGGGGAAGATGCTCCTTACAGGATTAGTCTGTCCAGTTGATGAAAAAAAGAATTAGACAATTAAAGTATCACTGTTTGCAACCTCCAGTGAATTACTAGTTGGTCATCAATGGCTACTGGCTTCACAATCCAGCAAGCATCCTGTGTGCATCCTGCTGGAAACAGCCTTATGAAAACCAACCAAACCAAAGGGATCTGAATCTGCCTCCTGGGCAGAGAGGATTCACAGAGGACATCACAGCAGACAGTGCAGAGGAAGACTCCCCAGGACAAATAACCAGGTTTCTTCAACAAATACATTGTGGTAAAATAGAAGAGGATGGAGTGGAGACGGAGGAGACATAGAGAGACACATCAACCAATCTCAGTGCATGGATCTTATTGGTATCTTAACTCAAACAACTCAAAAGGGAGACAGACACTGGAAATTTGAACACTGACCATTTGATGAATCAAGGAATTTATACCGTATTTTAAGTGTGCTAACAGTATCAAGACTACATTAAGGAAGTAAGAAAAGGGGCGCCTGGGCGGCTCAGTCGGGCGACTGCCTTCGGCTCAGGTCATGATCCTGGAGTCCCGGGATCGAGTCCCACATCGGGCTCCCTGCTCGGCGGGGAGTCTGCTTCTCCCTCTGACCCTCCTCCCTCTCATGCTCTCTGTCTCATTCTCTCTCTCTCAAATAAATAAATAAAATCTTAAAAAAAAAAAAAAAGTAAGAAAAGCACATAACTTCTAGAGACCTGCTTCCAAGTAAAACAGGAGAGGAAAACAAGCCAGAGGACAGAAGATGTAAGAATGTGCATAACAAGGGCACCTGGGCGGCTCAGTCGGTTGGGCATCTGCCTCTGGCTCAGGTCTGAATCCTGGCATCAGCCTGGTCCTACTCAGCAGGGAGTCTGCTTCTCCCTCTGCCCCTCACTCGTATCATGCTCTCCCCTCTCACACTCTGTCTCTCTCTCAAATCAATAAATAGACAAAAATCGTAAAAAAAAAGAAAGAAAGAAAGAAAAAAAGATTGGCCGTAACTGGCCCATAACCACTGAAACTGGGTGGTGGGCTTGGGGGTTTATTACACTGTTTTGACTAGTTTTGTGTGTCTGAAAATTTACATAATAAGGAGTCTTTAAAAAAACATTTAAATGTTTTGATCTGGGATTTACACAGGTTCAAAGAATGAGGTGGATTCCCAGCATGATTTTTTTCCAGAAGGTCCTGACATCACTTCCAGAATGCCTTGTCTTTTCTCCACCAATATGAAATGCCACATTCGTCACCAAATGCCCAGATCTACTGGGGTCTATTTTTGGCCTCTTGATTTTGCTCTACTGATTAGTGTGACTAGTTCTTGCCAGCAATATTTTGAGAACTGTAATTCGGTAATACCAATACAAGGGAGGCCACATTACACATTGGGTTTTATCCTGTAGAAGAAGGAAAAGCATTTCAGAAAATCATTCTCCCCATCCAGCACCCAGGCCTTCTCCCACCTGTCTCCTCTCCACTGGCCCTGGCAATGTGCTCTGTCAGCTAAGCCACCTTTCACACATTACTGATGAGACAGCCACTACAGGCCACTATTCTGGGCTTGAGGGATAGAATACGAACGAATAGGCAAAGTCCCTCCCTTCATGGAGCTTACATCCTGTTAGCAGGAGGAAGACCATAAAATATACCTGCTCTGCCCTGTGTGGAGGCAGAGCAGAGGCATGAGGTCAGAACTCTGGGGATGGATAGTAGCAGGATGGGGGTACTTGAAATCACATGGTATACAATTCAAAACTGCTTATTTTTCAGAATAATAAACACTTTAAGATTCATTTTTGTTAGAATAAGCAACAAAAATTTACATGAATCTGTAGGATACAAATAAGCCTTCAAAGACCTATCAGGAAGGGTGGCTTGAGTAGCTCTGTGGATCTGCTTGCCAGGAAAACAAGCATAACTGGCAAAAATTATAAAAACCACCACCATCACAACGATTTATAGCCTCTGGAAACCATCTAGGGTCATACAGCAAATGAAGAAATCTTTGTTCAAGAAACTCTCTGAAAGCTTGGTAAGAACAGGGGAGTGTGAGGCATTTGAGGAACCATGACTCCCTCCCTCCCCCCTGTAGCTCCGTGGGACACACTCTGCTCTGAGAGGATACAGGAAAGAACACAGGGCTCCCTCACCCCTGGGTCCCTGTGAGGGCTCTGAGCTCTCCCGGGGAGGAACAGGCTGCCAGCATTGCCCATCCTCCTCAGCTATGTGGTGTAGAGGCTCAATCCCAGCTGAGTGCCTGGGAACTCTCTTTTTCTGCCCAGCACCATAAAGAATTTCTACCCCAGTCTGCTTGCAGGGTGGAGGCTGCCCCCAGAAGAGGCTAGTGGAAAAGATCAGAGGCTACTACACAGAGGCCCCAAGAGAAAAAGGGACCGCTGTCACTGCCCATAACTAGAAATGGTGGCTCATTTAGCCCAGGGCAGGCCGCAGAACAGAGCAAAGCTCCCCACAAAAGAACTGACTTTGTCTGAAACAGAAGGTGGTGAATTCAAGCCTAGGAGCGCTCTTGAGAACAACGGAGATTTTGGAGGTGGGCGGCAGAGAGGAGGCTGGTAGCTTCATGACAGCCACAAGCTAAACCACAGGCCAGCTGGGTGCTCACAGAGAGCGCCAGGAGAGAAGGGTCAGAACCACCTCGGAGAATGGCCTCGAAAATGACCCTGCAAAGGGGCTCAAACACGAGATCAGACTGTGGAGCACACTTATTCTAAGCTATCAAAATAAGGCAATCGGCTGGCAAAGAGTGGAGCCTGAAGCTGGGTGTGACGGCAGCAGAGGCATCAGCCTGGCACAGCCATCACAGAGACAGGCAGGCACAGGGCGTCAGTGAGACCGCTGTCACCCCAGGGCGGCCGCGCCAGCAGAGAGCCACAGCAGACTCCGTGCTGCGGGAGCGAGACTGCACCGAAGTGGCCTAGCCCTGCTGCTCAGCAAATACGCAAGGGAACAACTATGAGGATGGCCCCGGGGGCGGGGGCTGGGGGTCAGAATCCAGAGTTGCTGCAATATATTATTTGAAATGGTCAGTTTTCACCGAACACTATGAGCAATTACGCAAAGCAATAGGAAAGTATGACTCAGACAGAAGAAAAAGCAACAGAACCTTCCAGTAAAGGGCCCAGGCCCCTAGAGGGAACAGACGGACTTGCAAGCAGCCACCGCAAACACGTTCAAAGAGCTACAGGAAACTATGCATAGACAAGTAAAGGAAGGTCTGATGACGACGTGTCATCAAATAGAGATTAGCAACAAAGAGACAGAAATTATAAAGAAAATAATCAATGGAAACTGTGAAGATGAGAAATACAGTAACCGAAATGAAAAATTCACTACAGTTGCACTGAACTGGCAGAAGAATCACCAAATTTAAAGGCAGATTGATAAAATTATACAATCTGAAAAAACAGAAACTCTCCCAAATGTGATGAAAACCGTTAATCTACACATCCAAGAGGCTCAGTGAACTCCCAGTTGGATACACACAAAACACACGGACATATAATGAAAGTGCTGGCAGCCAAGACAAGGAAAGCCCAGCCAGACTGAGAGGACGTCTCATCAGAAGGCAGCGGGACAGAGCACCCAAAGTACTGAAAGAGAGAAGAACGGTCAGCTCAGATCTTCTACCCAGCAAAACTGTCTTTTAGAAATGAAGACATAATAGAGACATCCCAGATTAAAAACGAACAGCAACAACAAAGAAACTATTTAATGCTAGCAAACCTGCACTGTAAGAAATGCTAAAAGAGGTTCTTCAGGCTGAAAACAAGTGACTCTAGATGTTAATTTTGATCCATAAAACAAGCAAAGAGCATCAGTAATTATACAATTATAAAACAGCCTAAGGACACATTTAAAAAGCCATTATATAAAATACACATATATAGTAGAAATGTTCTGTACTTGGGGCGCCTGGGTGGCTCAGTTGCTTAAGCATCTGCCTTTGCCTCAGGTCATGATCCTGGGGTCCTGGGATCGAGCCCTGCACTGGGCTCCCTGCTCAGTGCTCTCTCTTGAGGGAGAAGCATATACCATTCACTCATGCTCGCTCGCTCTCTGTCTCTCAAATAAATGAATAAAATCTTCAAAAAAAAAAAAAAAAAGAAATGTACCGTGTGTGAGAATAACAGCACAGAGAAGGTAGGTGGGGCAAAACTGTACTGGAGAAAGAAAACACCACCACATGAAAACATCTGTCCAGGGGCAGCTGGGTGGCTCAATCAGTTAAGTGTCCGACTTTTGATTTCAGCTCAGGTCATGATTTCAGGGTCCTGGGATCAAGCCCTGCATCGGGCTCCCTGCTCACCGTGGAGTCTGCTTGTCTCCCTCTCCCTGTGCCCCTTCCCCTGCTTGCACACACTCTCTCGCTCTCTCTAAAATAAATAAATCTTAAAAAAAAAGAAAAAAACTGTCCACACAAAGACTTCCTAAATGTTCACAGCAACATTATTCCTAACAGCTGAAAAGTGGAAGCAACCCATATGTCTATCAGCTAATGAACGGATACATTGATGTGGTCTATCCACCACGTGGAACATAATCCAGCCAACGAAAGGAATGAAGTCCGGACACCACTACAACCTGGATGAACCTTGAAAACATTACGCCAAATGAAAGCAGCCAGTCACACAAGGCCACAGGGCCCGTTTACAGGAAACGTCCAGAAGAGGCAAATCGACAGAGATGGAGAGAAGATTAGCAGTTGCTGGCAGCTAGGGGTAGGGGGGTAAGTGGGGGTATATTGTCCTGAAATTAATACCGACTCTGAGCGAGCTACTTGCAGTGCCGTCCTGGCTCATAAAATAAGCGTAACGAGACAACTGAACACAACCATTCTTGACACGAGCAAACAAGTGACAAAAAACTTGGAACTCACTGTTGGCACTGAGGTCAGTGACCTGAACCACCCTGTCCGGTGTCCTGCACGTGCAGCCTCCCTGGTTGTTCCTGGCATTGAAGACACAGTCAGGCCTCCCAAGAAGGACATTCTTAAATACCCGTCTTGGAGATGAAACATCAGCACTTTAGTTCAACAGCGACCCTAACATCCCTATGATAAAAACCACCGGCTTAGCTGTCTCTTTTGCTCCCCAGATTACAAGCTCCCTGAGGGTGGAGGCTGCCCACAGTGCCCAGCACAGTGCCTGGCCCACAGCAGGTAGCACACTCTGCCGGATGGATGAGCGGAAAGGGCGTTTCTGGCATGGGGCTCTCGCTCAGGTAGGGGAGCCACGTGGGACCCTGCTTTGGGCACACAGTGTGGGAAAGCCAGGTGTAGAAGGCAGGTGCTCTGGTGGGTAGTGTGTGCGCTCACTGGAAGACAGGCTTCAGTAAGACCCCTAGAATAGGAAGGCTCAGGTCCCAAGAGCTAAGGACTTGTATCTTAGGAGATGAGATGTCTGAGAGGAGGAAGTGTGGCAAAAAGATCGAAGGAAATCAACGGAGATTCTTCCTCAACCAATCCTCGCTCAAGTGGGAGATTCATTCATTCGACAATCCTTTTTGGCACCCGTCACATACCAGGCAATGTTTAGGCCCGAGAAAGGCAGGTACCAATGAACAAAAAGATTTGGTGTTGCCTGACTGTAGCTTGAAGTGCAGAGAGGAGGCGGCTGTTGCACGCATCACACAAATAAGTCTGTAATTAAAATCTAAGTGAAGAAGGAGGGCAGTAAGCGTGGACTGCTGTGAATGACGAACAGAGGGAGGGCAATTTAGTTTCACGGATGAGCCAGTGATGTCAGCTGAACCCAGGGATGAATGGACAAGCCGGCTGAGGGGCTGACGGTGACGGAGTTGGGCACATGGGGAAAAGCTTGTCACCTGGAGGACCTGTGTGAAGGGCAGAGGCCAGGACACAGTGAGTAATGGTGAATATGGTTCAGGATGAAGCTGCGAAGTGAGAAAGAAGCCTCACGTAGGATTGTTACTTGATCCAAAGTTCAGCTACTGGTTTTATGTACAGATGGGGGATGGTCTAGAATGTGGGGAGCAAGGGAGAAGGAGGGTGAAGTGGGACGTCCACATTTCCCACCTGGAAGAATCACATGAAGGTGCCATTTGCTAGCAGGGGATTACGAGAGGGCAGATTAGACGTGAAGCTGTCACAGCTGCTCTACCTTTGGGAGACTCAAGTGGAGGTGTCAGGCAGCTGAATAGACAGTCTGGAGATCAGAAAAGAGGAGACCGCTAGAGGGATAAATCGGACAAGTGCAGAGCCTATTCATGGCATTTAAAACTATGGGAGTGGACGAGATCATCTTAGGAGTGAATATAGAATGAAACTAGGAGGCAGTCCAGAAAGGACCAGGAGCTAAGCTAGCAAAGACTAGATAGCAAAGCGAGAGGTGCGAAGAAAACCAGACAAATGGGAACTACCAGAACTAGGGTTCAGAAATGCCCGACGGGGGGCTCCTGGGTGACTCAGTCGGTTAAGCGACTGCCTTCGGCTCAGGTCATGATCCTGGAGTCCCTGGATCGAGTCCCACATCGGGCTCCCTGCTCGGCGGGGGGTCTGCTTCTCCCTCTGACCCTCTTCCTTCTCGTGCTGTCTCTCATTCTCTCTCTCAAATAAATAAATAAAATCTTTAAAAAAAAAACAAAAAGAAATGCCCGACAGTACTGAAGGGTCATGTGAGAGGGGGCCAGAGAGTGTCCAACTCAGAAGTAACCAGTGAGTGAAGGCGGGCGTGTTGCAAAGTGAGGAGGCGAGGAAGTACAGGCTGACAGGGAGACAGGGCACATGGCTGTGAGGCAAGCCGGCCCGTGCTGGGGATGGAGAGCTGGGCTGTCTTAATGCCGACAGACAGGCCCTCAGTTAGTCCTGCTCTGACTGATCCTAGGACTCCTCAGAGTTTCAAAAGATGGACCGTTTGTAAAAATTTTAATTATTGGGGCACCTGGGTGGCTCAGTCTGTTGGGCATCTGCCGTCGGCTCAGGTTGTGATCCTGCGGTCCTGGGATTGAGTCCCACATCGGGCTCCCTGCTCGGCGGGGAGTCCGCTTGTCCCTCTCCCACTCCCCCTTTCCCCTGCTCGTGTTCTCTTTCTCTGTCTCTCTCTCAAATAAATAAGTACAATCTTAAAAAAAAAAAATTTAATTTTTAATATTTCTTTTTTTCAGTTCATATGTGTTCAGATGTCTTGAAGCTACTGGTAATTTTTATCAATAGTTCCAGATACCCAGGCAGTGACATTCATACAACAATACTCTTAAAAAGAATATTTGTAATTTAAAAATTGGGGCAAGAAATGTAAACTCCAAATCCTGGCTGCCCCTTGCCCCATTAATTTTCATCCTCACATTGCTCAGGATATTTCAAACTTACACAGCTTCCAAAAAACAATTTTTTTTTTTTTTAAAGATTTTATTTATTTGACAGAGAGAGACACAGCAAGAGAGGGAACACAAGCAGGGGGAGTGGGAGAGGGAGAAGCAGGCTTCCCGCAGAGCAGGGAGCCCGATGCGGGGCTCGATCCCAGGACCCTGGGATAATGACCTGAGCTGAAGGCAGACACTTAACGACTGAGCCACCCAGGCACCCCCACCAAAAAACGATTTTTAAAATTAAAATCGGTCTACAGAAAACAGATACATAAAATACAGTTTTAAAATAGTAAACATTCCTAAATCCTTACCAGGTTTTCTTTCAAATGCAGAACTGATTAAGATCAGGGCGGTGTTAAGCTCCTCCACGGAAGAAGCGCCATGACCTCCTGTTTCTGACATGCCATGATCACCACAAAGAACCAGCAAATTGGGTACAAGAGTCTCTCTCTCCTATAAGGCAAAGAAAAAATATTTCAATTGCATTCAGACTGAGGAGAACACATGATCTTGTTAAGAAAATGACTTTAGATTTTACCTTTATAAATAGTAACTTTTTTTTAAAGATATTTTTATTTATTCATTCGAGACACAGAGATATATATAGAGAGAGAGAGAACATGAGCAGAGGGAGAAGCAGAGGGAGGGGGAGAAGCAGGCTCCCTGCTGAGCAGGGAGCCCGATGCAGGGCTCGATCCCAGGACCCTGGGATCATGACCTGAGCCGAAGGCAGATGCTTAACCATCTGAGCCACCCAGGCGCCCCATTAGTAACTCTTTATAAATGAGTTAGACTTTTTTTTTTTTAACCTATGAGCTTACAGCTAGATCAAAGGGTGAAAGACAAATAATATCATAAATAAAACAAATAGAATCGTATGAGGTCATGGAGCACAGGAGGGTTATATTTAGGGCCTTTTAGGGCAGAGGATTTGGGCCTGGTTTCTGTCTTTGCCACTGCTGAGCCATGAGAGCCTAGACACATGCCTTGTCACACCTGTCTCCTTATGTGTCAAGTGGGATTGGCCCTCAGCCTGGGGCTCCAGCCAAGGGCCTCTGCTGCTCCTGGATGTGCCGGGCAGGCTCTATCTTGCTCTTGCTACTTCTTCACCTAGAATGCACCTTCACAGAGGGCACATCTGCCCCTCCTTCCCTTCAAGGCTCTGCTCCCATGTCACACGTCCTGAAGGACAGCTGCTCTCACCATTCTGTTTCAAATCACAGCTCTCTCAGCTGCTGTTTCCTTTTCCTAGTATACTTACGTACTCGTTGATTATTCTCATTTGTCCTTCCTGGCTACGGTAGAAGCTCTACAGATGCCCGGACAGGCATTCAGGAACTAGTAGTGGGATGAATGGGTCAGTGGTGGACAGTCAAAGCTGCTGGGAGGCTGAGCCTGCGCTCTGTGCTTACAAGCGAACTGAGTGATGGTGGGCGTGGCGTTCACAGAGGTCTCAAGTCCACTTCAGAAACTTGGTATCTCCTAGGAGACACTGGCATGGTGACGCACAGCGCACCATAGTGAACCTCACCTCGGACAGCAGTGAGGTGTGGATCTTCATCAGGATGCTATCCATCTCCCGGAGTTTGTGGCCGATCAGAGGGCTGCTGGGCCCAGAGACGTGGCCAATGTGGTCCAGCCCCAGGTAGTGGAGGATTAACACATCCCAATCCCCTCTTTTTAATACTTTATCCAAATGCCTTGTAACATTATCATCCACCTGTAAAGGGGGAAAAGTACGTATGAATAGCTTCCTTTATTTCCCTTGATCTATACTCTCCAAGGAAAAGTGATACAGTCCTTTTAAAATCTAGGCGTTTGTTTTAGGTAACAGGACTCATCTGAAAAGACAGCCCCCCCCGCCCCACCCCCCCGCCCCGCCAAAAAGCCCTAAACACAAACAGAAAAACCTGTCATAAAAAAGTTAAACAAGGGGCGCCTGGATGGCTCAGTCGTTGGGTGTCTGCCTTCGGCTCAGGTCATGACCCCAGGATCCTGGGATCGAGTCCCACATCGGGCTCCCTGCTCTGCGGGAGGCCTGCTTCTCCCTCTCCCACTCCCCCTGCTTGTGTTCCTGCTCTTGCTGTGTCTCTCACTGTCAAATAAATAAATAAAATCTTTTTAAAAAAAGAAAAGTTAAACAAATATTAGCATTAGATTAAGCTGTCACTAATACCGTCCTCATGTTTCTAAGGTACAGATACCATACAGGCAACTTAAATGAGAAGTGTTGTTCTGACAAAAACATTCTGTGGGACCCCTACTGGGAATTAACTAACACTAAGTAGATGTTCAGGTGACCGGTGGGGTCAAGTTGAGGGCATCTAAGTGTGTCCTATGTGAAGGCTGCTCTGGGAGGAAAGAGATACAGCTCTGAGCAACTAGTGGTCGAGCAGCCCCTGATAGAGCCATGAGCCTTGTCAGCCCTGACCATTCAGCTGGCCCATCTCCCTCCCACTGAAAAGTCTCTACAAAGGGAAGGGTCTCTGAGTGATAAGACAGAGGATGGGGAAACTCACTCCTGGACATTAACTGCTGCGTGTACAGAGGTCAGCTTTAGCAAAGGGTATTAACGTAAGCAAGACTGCAAACGCTCTACCAGGCCCAGCAAACTGAGCTGGTGTGGCTTTGTCTCTGCTCTGTGGGGCCTCCCTCTGCTTCTAGGGTCAATCTTCTAACTACAGGTCTAATCACACCCTTTTTCCTTGTTGGAGACTGCACTCCCAGCACAGCGCAATGCCCCTCAGGACCTGACCCCACCCAGCTCACCATCTGTCCTCCCACCTCCCCACTGGGGACACTGCTGCACTAACAGGAGAACCAATAGCCTCAAGGATCCTCTGGAGTCCTCAGGCTCTGCCTTGTACCGATGCTGCCACCCCCATTCTGTCCATTGGGAAGCCCCACTCACTTCTCAAAACAGCTTAAATGGCTCCTTGCTGGGAAGCCCTTCCTGATCCTCCGTACCCCATCAACAGGTGCTCAGCTGTTCCAAGAGAACTTTGCTCACATCTCCATCAGGGTTCATGTCTCTGGGTTGTAATTGATTATGTGAATGAACAATGTCTACAATCTCTCCATACCTCTCCCAGTATACTAATAAAAGCCACATACAAAACAATGTTGCCTCTCACTGACAGGGTATCAGACTCTATCTAGTATGACAAAGCTTTCTTATTTTAAAAAACTGACCTCTGTATAATCTGACACAAAAAATGAGGTTGTTCCATCATATTCCACAAAATGCCTTGGGAATAATTTCACCCATGTTTCATCTCCATAAAAGATAATTCTTTTCCCAGCTGCTTTTGCCTGTGTGATCACATTGTCTTCTAGCAGTGCAGGGGAATTGAGGTTCCTGACAACATCAATGAAGCCAGGGAGGCTCCCTGTCATCAACGCCTGCAGGAGGAAACATTCAAGAAATTAGACTACGGAATCCAAAGCGTAGCATGGGAAGGAGCGCCAAAGATCATATTACGGATGAAAGAGGAGAGCATAAAACTAGGACACCCCCAATACTAGAAGCTGGGTCAGTGGTAGGACAGAGGGGAAAGCTGCACACAGAATCTGGCAAACTAGCAAACTTGATCTCAAAGACTTGACTGTATTTCAGCCAATGAGAGGATGAAGGTGGAGGCTGTGGGCAGCTGGACAACCGTGACGGACAGAAAAGCTGTAGATTATAGCAACTGAAGAAAATGGCAAAGTGTGGTTTGCACTGAAAACATAAACCTGTATACTCCACTTCCCATCAGGTCCTCACCTAAGCTTCAAATCTGTTCTGTGTGACGAGCAGACTCCATGTACTCATCTCACAACCTAGCAATTCTAATGTCCATGCCATGTGAATGAGCAGCCTCTCACACACCGTGGAAGGAAAGCAGCCTCTAAGCAAGAACTCTTAGAAATTCTCATAGTAAACTGGCCCAGGGATGCTGGTGGGACACCCCTGCTCCGCATGCACACACACACACACACACACACAGACACAGCACCGTAATTTCTGGGAGGAAAGGGTGGGTGTGACGTATCCCCATGCCTTTCTGACATAGAATTTTGTCAACAACCTCCCTCGCTTTAGCACAGAGTCTAAGAGGCCATAGTAATGGTTCATGTGTCTCCTGTGATCTAGAGTTATCCAACAACCCATGACACTGGCATCCAGGGACCGACCTGTGCAATGAAAATAAACAGAAATCTGTATCATGCCAATAGGCATAATTTCGCCAGGTCTTCTTTAACAGCAAAAACAGCAAATAGGAATTAACCTGATTTCTGGAATGTCAGAGGAGCTCGGCAAATCCTCTCCCCTAAGAGCAATGATAAAATGTTATAGAACTGCCCCAAACAACCATTTCAAGATTTTGAAAACTTATGAAGGATATACAACAAATTGAGAAGTTCTTATCTAAGACAAACTACTGAATCTCACAGTAAGAGCTGTGAGTATCTGTGGTGTTTTAACAGAGGCTGCCCCCCGCCCCCTCCCCCTGTGACATAGTGGCCATGGGGACCCGGAGGGGGCCATGGGGACCCGGAGGGGTCCATCTGACCTGGAGCTGCACGGATAAGTCCCATGCCAGGGATGTGTTGAAAACAAGGAAGGCCAACATCACAGCTGCCTCAGGCATCAATGCTGTTTGTGGTAAGAGACAAGCCCAACATTTACAAATGGGATCTGGGGGGAACCTGGGTGGTTCAGTTGGTTAAGCGTCTGCCTTCAGCTCAGGTCATGATCCCAGAGTCCTGGGATCGAGCCCTGCATCGTCAGGCCCTGCTCAGTGGGAAGTCTGCTTCTCCTTCTCCCTCTCCCCCAGCTTGTGCTCTCTCGTGCTCACTCTCAAATAAAATCTTTAAAAAAAAATGGGATCTGGATTAGGGGTGCCTGGGTGGTTCAGTCGGTTAAGCGTCTGCCTTTAGCTCAGGTCATGATCCCGGGGTCCTGGGATTGAGCCCCGCCTTGTCGGGCTCCCCGCTCAGTGGGGAGCCTGCTTCTCTCTTCTCCCTCTGCCTCTCCCCCAGCTTGTACTCTCCCTCTCGCTCACCTTCTCTCAAATAAATAAATAAATAAATAAATAAATAAAATCTTTAAAAAAAAAAGGGGGTCTGGGTTAGGGGTACCTGGGTGGCTTAGTTGGTTAAGCGTCTGACTCTTGATCTCAGCTCAGGTCTTGATCTCAGGGTCGTAAGTTCAAGCCCCACATCGGGCTCCACGCTGGGCATGGAGCCTACTTAAAAAAAAAAAATGGGGTCTGGGAATGAGACAGGTATACCAGATTTCTGTAAAAGCCCACAGAGCCGTGTGCACACATGGGGCTGATTGTGCACTCGGGAGAGATCAGACCGTGCCTAGTAACTCATTCCTTCCAGCCAAAGAGGAGGCCCTACTCACACAGAAAGTGACAGGGCAGGCGTATTAGGTGCCTGAACAGTGAGTACGAACCACACACAGACCCCTGGAAAGGGTGGAAGGCCTAGGTGTTTAAGCACAACCTCTTATCAGTCATTGGCTAACCACTAACTATGCTCACCCAGGGGTGACCTTTCACAAGACCAGCTTAAAAATAAAAACCAGAATTTAAAAAACAAAAATAAGCAGATACCAGTTACTGTGCACTCCAGGGGAGACAGACTCTACAGAACGAGTTTAGGCAAGTAACTCACTGACAAACCAACAAAATGATAGCAAGAACCACCACTCCTGGGGTGGAGGATCAGAATCCAGAGTTGAGGTGGGGGGTTGATGGATATACCACATTTGTTAAATCTCACCAGACTGTACACATAAAAATGTCTGCACTTCACTGTATGAAAAACCTATCTCAATGAAATTATTTTTTTAATGTGAGCCTCTCTTTCACCCCAAAATTTTACTACTTATAGGTAACCAGTTACTTTGGATAAGTACCCTTTCATATTTTTCCTGTATGTTATAATCACAAATATACAATGGTAATAAACTATATAAACAATTCTGCAACTTGCTTTTATTTTTCAGTAACATATCCTGAACTTCTTTTCCCAGAAAACACACAGCTACTTCTTTTCTTCTTCTTTTTTTTTTTTTTTTTAGCAGCTACAAAGTACTCCAGTATTTGGATCAAGACCATTTTATTGGACATGAATTTTAACAAGCTTGCAACGCAAGTGCCATTTGAGCTGAGACCTGAAGGCAGACCTGTTGTCTAGGGGAGGGGAAGGAAGGCACAGTGGGGCTCTCCAGGGGAACACAGCAAACTGTGAAAGCCCCAAGGCTGAAAGAGGGCAGCATGCTTGCAGGATGTGTGATCTATTTGGATGAATGACACAGGAAGAGGGAAGCAGCTCAGATGAGGATGAAGAGGTAAACAGGGACAGGACCATGCAGGGTCTGAAGATGGGGCCTGGGTATGAGGAGGTGCTGGGAGACTTTTACATTCCTGGCTGGAAACCATAACCCACTGGACCAGGGTGGCAGCAGTGCAGGGGCTGGCTCAGTGTTGAGAGTACCTGTCTACCTCATTTCATATGAGAAGAGGTCATCATCAACCTTTACATTTTTACAATGTGATAGACAAAAACTGGGCTCACAGATTGCTTTAGTTCGTCTTGCCCTGATTACTAGTACAGAATCTTTTTGTATGTTTACTCGCCATTTCAATGTCTTCCTTTGTGGATTTCTTTATATCCTTTGCCATTGGATTGTTGTCCTTGGTCAGATTCTCTTTACACATCATGAGCTTACCATCTTGTTTGTGATGTCAACTGTAAATAATTTTTCCAGTTTATCATTTGTCAGTTGACTTGGTTTATGGTGTCTTCTACCATATGAAGGGCTTTGGTTTCCATGTGGTCTAATCTGTCCATCCTTTTCCCAGGGGCTTTTATAAGGTACCTGCCTCCTTCTCACACTAGGCTGTGTTCCCAATGACATTTTCGAGGAGGGCGGGGACTACCTGGTACCCTTCAGCCCAGGAAGCATGCAGGCAGCTGGGAGCCCTAGGAAGTCTAAGTGAGAGCCCAAGTCTGCCATCACCTTGGAGGTCGTCCTGCGGTTGTTGTGGCCTTGGGAACAGTGGTTTCTTGCCTTCTGAGATTGAAGGAGGGCTCTGCAGAGACTACTGGAAGAGGATGTGGCCTGGTCACCCTGTTCAGCAGTGACCAACAGAGGCTCTAGAACCGGACACACATAGGCTAGGTTCCATTTCTGATGCCAGCTGTGTGGTTTTACCACTTCAAGCCTGTTTCCTCATCTGGAAAATGGAGAAGGCGGCAGTGCCTGCCTCATGGAACCTAGGTCATGGGGCTGTTGTGACAGCACATGACAGAATGCCTGTGTTCTGTGCTCACTGCAGTCAGTTGGTCAGTACCTGCTCCTTACTGTTACTATACATTCCCTGAAGAAAGGAAAAGCACTCACAAATTAGTTAACATGAGAAAGTGCTATGAAAGTGCTATTAGTCTTGAGTCGTTAAGATCAGCGTTTTGTGACAACTGCATCAATACCTCAAGATTAATATATCCCTTCCCTAACCGGAGGCAAGGTAGGGGACACACATCTTAGCCAATACTACCCAATCCTGCCAAATTCTAGAGCTGTGTAACCCTAACTCCAGTATGTATTTCCTGTTCTAGCTCCCCTCTTGCTGGGGAATGAGAAGCAAGAACTTGCAAAGGCCTGAAAACAAAATAAACAAAATGAAGCACAATACTGGTTTCATGAAAGGACACAAACAAGCTGGAAACAGAACACAGCAGCCGACATGCAGGTCTGGACACAGCCTGGAGCCTGCACACCCATTTACATGCTTTCTTATAAACCTACTCAGATTCCTTACCAGAATGAAGGAGGAATGGGTTCCTTCCACACCTCTGCTAGAACAGATCAATCAGTGCTCCTGATGGTGAGGAGCCTGGATGCCTTTCTTCTAGCTTTCACAAGACTGGTCTCAGCAGAATGAGCACTCTTGAGAGGCCATCCCTGAGCTTCTTGACTAAAGGTGCCCCACTCCTCCCTGTTCCTCATTACTGTCATAGTCTCCTCCCTGATTCCTTCCACAGCACTTACCACTTTCTGAAACTACCTTGATTATTTGTATACTTACATATTTTCTGTCCCCTCAATTAGAAATTAAGCTCCATGAGGATAGGACACTTGCTGTCTAGTTCTTCACTGAATCCCTCTTATTGAAAACAGTGTGTGATACGTAGAAGATGCTCAATAAATACCGCTGAATGAAGGACACACTACATCCAAAAGTTGCAGAGAGTGGGAAACTCAAGAAAATAAGTCAATGAAAGATGCAGTATTAATCCTCTGAATCCCAGACTGTTTTATTCATCCAGTAAACAATTACTGAGTACCTACTAAATACTGAATCAAGACGTGGCTCCTTCTCACCAAATAATAAGGTGTCACACAATCAGCCATAGATGTAAGGCTCAACCACAGACGATTTTACCATGCCAGCAACATATTCACAAACTCTGAAGCTCCTCTGTCCCTTTCTGCCTCTTCCCTTTTACTCATCCTTCCAGTTTAAACTCTAGTATAATTTCCTCAGGCAGGCTTTTCTGACCCTCAAGCTAAATTGAGCCCCCTCCCATCCCACCCAGTAATGAGCATCACATCCTGCTCTTCCCCATCATCATGCATTAATCACACTTTAAAACTACAAATTAATTTGTCTGCTTATTTGCTCAATGACTATGTATCTCATAAGTGACTAAAAGCTCCATGAAGGCAGATACTATTTTACTCCAACTGCATACCCATTACAGTACTGACACATAGTAGTTGCTTAATAAATAGTTCTTGAGCCAATCAATACAGCCTTACTCTTCCCCCCCACCCCCACTCATAGTTCATGAGTAAAGCACTATGCACTTCAAAGCCACACTCACTAGGCTGAACACCTCAAAGTGAGTTATACAGTAGAAACAGTGATAACTCTTGAGGCCGGATCATGCAGGTTTGGTTATTATTTACACCACACAGTTGGGGACAAGTCATCTAACTTACCTGAATTTGTTTCTTGTCTATAAAGTCAAGAGACTGAACTAGATTAACCCTAAAGGCTCCTTTCTGGAATGTAAGCGACCCACTGATGATTAAAGAAGAGACCAGGTTAGCAAGGAGGACACTATCTTTTGGATTAGGCCGACCGGAATGATCTGGGCTCTAAATACTTTATGCTTTCCATCAGGTGTGAACTTTGGGCTACTTGACCAGAGACACAAATCATGGGTCTCAGTTCTATCCTATCTTGTGAGGCTTCATCAGCATTTTATTGCCCTAGCCAGATGGACAGCACTAAACTAATTTCTACCAAGTCAAAATTGGGACTCCAAGTAAGAATACAGAGAGCCCCTTCAACCCTCCCAAAAAGCCAAACCACGACTTACAACACATTCAGTCAAAATGTTTACCTTGATTCGAGGCATAGTAACTGTAGGCAGCTTTGCTTCAGCCACAAAACTGTGAGATGCTCCTTTCTCCACAAGATAAGTTGTGTAGGGCATAAATTTCACACCCTTTGACCCAAACACAAAATCATCTCTCAAGCCATCTATCAGCATAATAACAACTTTTCTGAATAGAGGTGGTGGGAGCTTGGTCCAGTTGGAACTGCCTCCTAAAAATGTTTGAAAGGAAAAAGGAAATTGAATTTTAAACTGTATTTAGCACCCAAGCACCTTATAAACTACTTCTGGCCTACTTCTCCGGCACATATGCTGTCATATCTACCTATCCCAACCCAAAGGAAAGGACCTGTTATTGGTAGACAGTGCGGGGATGACAAGGAAGCTGAAGGAGCGCCAGCATTAAGCAGGAATTGCCCTTTGCATGGTGAGTACTGGGAAAGGGGAATCCTTTCGTGAGATTCCGGGTGTTTGACATTTAGGGAGCTTGATTCCCAACACAGTGCAGCAGGTAGGGGAGGGGCAAGCGTCTATAAACTGTGTCTACAGGGTCGGTGGCTGGTACCGTGTGGACCTGGTCAAAAACGCGAGAGCCTTTACCTAGTGTGTACTGCTGGGCAGGTGAGGGTTACTGGGGGGGAAAAGCGGGTCTTGGCAGAATGTCACGGAAGAAAACGCGGTGGAGGGGTCAGCAGGAATCTGATCTGTTGTGTCTCCTTGAGCAAAAAGGGTGCCTGACAAAGGGAGTGGCGCAACGGCTTGTCCGGGAAGGGGGAGGGGGTGTGACCGGACGAGCAGACGTCGGGAGAGGCGGGAGCCTGGGCGTGGAGAGCTCTCTTTGCGGCGACAGGAAGAGATCGAAGTGTGGCTGGTCGTGGTGGTTGGTCGTGGAAGAGGCTGGGGCGGTGAAAAGAGGGCTGCTGGGAGGGGGGGCCAGAAGAGAAGAGGAGAGCACCCGAGGGCCTCGAGAGGCCCGGGAGGCGAGGCTCCTAAGGAGGGTCCCTTGGCAAAGTGGGGCCCAGGGAGCGGCCGCGGCCGGGGAGGGGTCCGTACCGGCCGCGGGTTCGGGCGCTGGGGGCTCTGCCTGGTGCTCCGTCCTGGAAGAAGAACGAACCGGAGTCGGGAAGAATCCCCGAAGGAAGAGCGCGACCCCGAGCACCTCGATCACCACACAGCAGGCGGCAAAGGTCCCGGCACCCAGCCGCATCGTGCCCGCCCGAGGGGCCAGGATCCGGGTCCCCCGGCCCCGCCTCTCCCGGCACGGGCTGCCCTCGGGAGCCGCTCCGGAACCAGCGTGAACGCGCCCGCGCAGCAGGCGCCGGCGCAGGGCGTCATCGCGTCCGCCGTCGCGCCGGAAACACGCAGGAGGAGGGCGCGTGCGGGGCTGGGAGTCCCCACAGTCCCCGAACCCCTGGGGGGCCCTTCCGGCGCGTGCCGGGGCGAATCCCCTCCGGCCCGCGAGGCCCGCCCCGCGCCCCAGCCGGGCCTGTCGGGTGTGTTGCGGTGGCTAACCCTACCGTGCGCCGTGCCTCCTGCTAGAGGCCTTCTCGCGTGTCTCAGCAGCCTGCTGAGTCGGGCGCCGTGGCCCTCCGAGCCCTCCCCTTTCCTGCGCCCGTGTGTGCCGAGGGCGCCTGCAAACTGCGCCGCCGTCCCGTCGCCGAGTGACGCCTGTGCTTTGCGTCTCCACACTTCGTGACTTTTAAAAACCAAGAGCACGTCCTCCCTTGCGAGGGCGCTTGTTACGGGCCGAATTTTGTCCTTCCCCAAATTCAGATGCTGACATCCCAACCCTCAGTACTGCAGAATGGGATTGTGTTGAAGAATGAGTCAAACGAAGGTATTAACTTTAAAAATAAAACTGCCAGTAATCTTACCAGCCAAGGAGGTTTATTCGGAAATAGCGGAGAAGTGTAACGCGGACCAGCAAGGTGCAGCAAAACGACAGAGAGGCTCTTTTGTTTTTATTTAATGACTTTCAAAAGTAGGCTCCACCAGTGTGGAGCCCGACAGGGCTTGAACTCACAGATACTCTGTCTCTCCTCTGTGTTTGTGAACCTCTAGGATGGACAGGATTCCCCTGTGGTCATACCTGCTTTGGAGGTTGAGCGAGAGCATTGCTTTTTTGCCCCCCAGTGTTGGGCTCTAAAAGGAGAGTGAAGTATCCACCCGGCAGCTGGCTATTTCAATTCCAACTCAACCCCAGTCAAGGATCATGCAGAGTTCTTCCGCTCTCCTATCTGGGAAGGGTCCTGCTGTGCCCCCACTGCCTGGGAAGCCCCAGGTTCTAGTACAGCCCTGACCCACAAGGGCACTTGGTAGACACGTGGGTTTATACAGGTCTGGTTTTAGTGGCCTCCCCTCCCCCCTGCGCAGCCTTTTGGGGGCTGGTGGGGCTCTCCTGGCACTGGCTGGATCCTTCATCCCCTCCGAATGATCAGCAGTAGACAGTCAGGTCTCAGACAGGACAGTCCTTGGCCTCCGGCCATCCAGACAGGCATCTGTGGTCCTCCCGCTCAGGCCAGCCTGGGTCTTGACAACCCCCATGGCCGAGTATTAAGCTGACTGTGCTCCTGGCAATTTAACAGGTCCATGGACAGTGTAGACAGCCCCTTGGGTTGTTTCCATTGCCAACATCTGTGTGGTTGAGACAAGCACCTTCTCCCTCACAGCCTGCCCGCCTGCCAAAAGAGGTCATAACCCTCCAAACATAGAAGGTATCCCTGGCTACAGCAGCCATACGTCAAACTGGCCCTGCAGTCCTTTGGCCTCCTGGTTATAATGTAAACCTTCGATATACATACTTGTTAAGAGTCAAGGATATAGGAGAACCTGTGTCTCCCAGCAGGCAGTTTCTCACTGAGGCTGCATGGTCTCAGAGAGCCACGTGCATGACCCAGGGTCTGTGGCCTTTGAACAGCCTGCCAAGTGTGGATTCCGTGCTGTGGAATAATCTTGAGTCTCCCACTGCTTCACTGAGCAATAATTTTCTAACCATCATTGTATTTGGTCTCTGCTCTTTGTAAAGGAGAGAAGAGACTGTAGAATGAGCCTGTTTGTTCTTTGGGGATGGGTGATTAATGGGGGGGGGGGAGGGCAGGTGTGACTCCTGGCCTCTCTCCTCCCAGGGACACGAGTGAGGTCTGTGTGCCTTCCGGTCTCTGAGATGCGAGGACCCAATGTCCAAGGCAGGAGCCTTGAGTTTCCCACCAACGGCAAAGTTGCTTTTTCAGCAAGTGGAAGAGCGTCTTGCCATTATGGGAGAACAGCAAGAGCACTGGATGGGCGGCTGCAGCCTCTGACCCTAAGTTGACCCCTTCCTTCCTTGGGCTTCAGATTCCACAGCCGTGCAGTCAGTCAGCAGTGATGCGGAATCTGCTGCTTTCCCAGCCCGGCATCTATTCTCATGTCCAAGTCCAGCACCTCAGCTTGCCTTTGTGAACCACATCTCACCTGCCTCCCATCCAAATAGTTTCAGAGGTCAGACCCCACTTTCCACCCACCTCACAGATGGGCATATGATCCAAGTCTACCCAACCCCATGCTCTGTCCTCTGGATGATGAGAGTGTGACCCAAGCCGTGCCAAAGACACTTAAAGCCATGACTTTTCATGGAACCCAAGGGAAAGAGAAACCCTTCCCAGTAGAATGGACAGTGAGTGGGTGTCAGCCTAGAGTTGCTAGAGGTCCCAGATGCAGTGAGAGAGACTGTGCCTGTGAATGGGCCCACTCTGAAGCACTTAGCAGGATGGAGGGTTGGAGATGGTCCAGATCACACTCTGAAATTGTGAGCCCCTGGGCCTACAAAGTCCAAACACACTCTTAACTTGCCTCTTCCAAGTATTAATTTTTTTCCAACCATTTAAAAATATTAATTTATTTTACTTCAGTCAGTGTGTCCAGTTCCTTTCAAGACAAAAAGTCCCAGGTGACATATCAGAATCAACAATCCCTGAGACTCCCTGTGCACGGTGCCTTCACTGGGCATGGCATGGCTGGGGAGAGGAAGACTGAGTCAGGTCAGGTCTCAGGAGAGCTCCAGAACGGCTCTGTCCCTGTTCCTTCTCTGTCCTGGGAGAGGAAAACCCTTGAAGAGTGAACGGAGAACCAGCAGGAGGAAGCAGTACCCTGGATGGATAATTGGTCTGCTTGTTTTTTCCTTATTTTAGGGTCCTTTTGTTAATGTGTATTTTTACTAGGAATCACCCATTTCCTCTAGGTTTCCTGTCTAGTACAATAAGTTTCTTTTATTTGACCTTTAATTTCTTTCTAGTCTTCTACAGAATTGTCACAATTCATGAACAAATATTGATGTGTTATTTTTAACTGAAGTCCATATTTTATTCAGGTTCCCTCTGTTCTCTCTTCTCCTGCTCCAGTGTCCCTTTTCCTGCTCATGTCTCTCTAGGCTCTACTTGGCTGTAACAGTTTCTCAGACAGCTTTGTGTCAGTGACCTTGGCAGTGTTGAGGAGGACTGGTCAGGCATTTTGTAGAAAGTCTTGCATTGAGATTTATTTGTTTTCCTCTTGATTAGACTGGGATTATGGGTTTTGAGGAAGCAGATCAGGGAGGTAAAGTGCTTTGTCATTACTTTATAACAAGGGAACACTTGTCACTGTCCGTGTTAACATTGGTCACCTGGCTGAGGCGGCATTGGTCAGGCTTCCCCACCAGGAAGTTACTCTTTCCCATGTGCAGGAAGACACTGCTCTGAGCCCCCACTTTAGGAGAGGGGAGTTAGCTCCATTTCCTTGATGAATGGTTGAGTATCTACATCTATTATTTGGAATTCTTATAGGAGAGGTCTATTCAATCCCGCTTATAAAAAACTATGTAATTTGTTAATAAAGATGCAACCAAGTAACTTAAAAGAACCCAATCCCATTGGCTTCATTGAACAATTCATGAAACAGGCAGCGTCTCATTTAGCAAAAAGAAAGGGGCTCCTTTGAGCTGCAGGGAGGGGAAGGATTTTAAAGGCAGAGAGGGGATTGAAAAAAAGAAATTACTAGAAAAGGATGCACTATTTTAGGCAATGTCCCCCTCCTGAGGGGAACAGAAGGGGCCATTCAGTTCATTTTCCAGGTTGACTGGTTAAAGTTTACATGGAGGCAAGGGTGTGTGGAACTGTAGTTAGGTCAGGTAGTAAGTCTTGGTTTACTGGCTTGGGTCTCTTGACATAACTGACTCCATTTTGGGCCTGTGGGTTCTTTTTAAAAAATTATTTATTTTTACCAGTGTGGACACCAGAGTAGGTTATGCTCCAGTACTACAGTGTTTGGTCACTGGCTCATTCCTGCTTTGGTGATTGAGAGCGCTTTCCATTGGCTCCTGTTTTCCGTTGACATCATTCCATCTCTGTGGCTCTTTTCTTGGTACTTCCTTACTTTCTGATACATCAAGGTTATCCTGGCTCCTATACTTACTGTCTCAGTTCTAGTGTCAGCAAGTTCTTCAAGGAGCCCTGGTTAGTAGAGAATGGTATTAAAGTCTTACACATGGGAGCTAATGTGCTCAGCGGACAATGCAAGGCAATATATGCCTGTATTCCCACCTATGTCGACACACCTAATGATAAAGATTTCTATGTGGAACCGTCTGTGTCCATATTAAGCTAAAGATGAGTTTATACTGATGTCTCCAACCTGATCCATCACCACAGGGAGATTGTGATCTCCTTCCTTTGCTGACTTGTAAGTTCCTACCCTAACAGTGACAAACCTCGCTGTCACCACTGGCTCTTTATTTAATTCATTGCTCCATTCCAGATTACAGACGTGGTGTTTTTAGAACTGTTAGCGACCACTCTGATGGGCAAGAACTTTATCAGATAGAGTCCACTGTGTACGTACAGTACAGTTTTTCTTTAATCTACGGATTCCATTCATTTCCAAGGTTACTTAGGTCAGCACCTTTTGTCATACAACCTACAGTGAGGGTTTTTTCCCCCATATGTTTCTAATACAGTTAGATTATGTGTCATGTTCTGTATTCCATTGAAGGGGAGGAAGAAATTTTCCTTTGTCCAA